GGCTTTTGTGATACTGCTGAAATAAATCTATACTCATGGTACAGTCACAATTGTACTTTCGCACAGATTTCTTATGGGCGTAGAACGGGTTTTGTCGCTTCTATTCAGGGATCACGTCACGCCTGAGGAACCAACTGCACAGTTGCCATGTCATGGACACCAGCATCAAGTTACCTTAAGAGATTATCAAGACAGTGATTTCAAAGTGACCTAAGTTAACAGATTATCATCTGAGAGGCGTGTTGTGGCGACTGTAGTAACACTGTGATACACTGTGTGACTTGAGGCAGACATGAGGAAAGACCTCCACATGAAAATGCCTTCACTGTTGCCTGGGATGAGTTACAGCGTTCGAAATTAACGTCGGCCCATAGGGCAGAAGCCGACTGAAAACCACTCGGACCCACAGCTTTTGTTTTTGGCAGGTCCTTATGGCCGGCGGGTTTTTCAGCCCCTATTACTAAGAGTGTTATTTCCACATTAAAATATAGGGCCTACACATTCTGATCAGGACCCACGACGTTTTATGGTTCTGGGACCTTAGGGCCTGCAGCTTTTCAGGGTTAATGGCAAACACTGATGAGGCGTCTTGTTGTAATGGTGATTGTATTAGTACACAGGTACTGTCAACTGTCAGTATATATAACCCAAATCGTTCAGGGTTATAGTGATTATTCAGGTCAATGAACGAAACCATGTAATTAGCAGTGAGTTATTTGGTTACCGTATTCGTGTTGCATTCCAGTACACACTACTATCTAGATTAGAGTTGACATTTCAAAATTCGGAGTTGTGCATTGGGTCGAATGTGTGTAGCGAGGATGCAAATTACTTTCTGTCTATGCAATAAAAACAATTTCCATATTGACAGACCGCCTCCGTGGTGTAGTGGTTGGAGCGTCCACCCAGAGAGCGGGAGATCGCGGGTTCGATCCCGACTGCGTCATACCAAAAGACGTTAAAATATGGCACTTGTTGGTCCCTGCCTGGCGGTCGGCATTAATGGGTACAACAAGGACTGGTAGGCTCGGAGTCAGTATAATGTGTCTGAGTGGGGTATTCATGCTTCACTGCGGCATGACATCTCAGTGAGCTAGCACTATTAAACCAGCTTAAGTCTGGGCTAGTACAAGCAACCACATACACATGCATTCACGTCCTTATATAAGCGAAATATTCTTAATACAAGAATTCTTAATATCCCTTTTACAATTTCTATATACATATAGGCGGTGGGGTAGCCTAGTGGTTAAAGCGTTCGCTCGACACATGGAAGACACAGGTTCGATTCCCCACATGGACATAATGTGTGAAGCCCATTTCTGGTGTCCCCGCAGTGATATTGCTGAAACCGGTGTAACACCATTCTCACTCGCACGCACTTTAGTCGGGACCTGTGAATAGGTCAGAAAACGAAGCCACTGCAGCGAACGGGCCCAGGGTATTTATCGCAACCGGATACTTTCAATAAACGAGAATGATGTTTGTATGTCACTCAGTCATAATTGTTGGTTTACAGGAAACAAAGAGTATCACTCAGCTATAAACAGTCGATGTGACCAGATCCAACAAGAAGCTGATGATGTCAGAGAGCAAATCTACAAGGCTCTCAATGAATGGTCAAACTCATATGATGATGACTATGTCAAAATCGACAGTGTACTTGACACAATATATGATATGAATGAAAGTGACCAGACACTCTACAACGACGTGGTGCTCTGTGTTGTCCCCTAGCAACACGGGGAAAGACAAATACATCAGGATCTGCTGTTTGATCAAATATGACTTTTAGGGGTAGTCTTAAAAGGATGTTCAGCATTAGAATCTCGTCTGTAATAAGTATGATAGAGATGACATTCGTTCCGGTATTCAAAGTACTCATACTGTTTAACAATTTTTGCCCTTTATTATTGCCGTTATTCATGTTATGTGAGTGAGTGAGTGAGTGAGTGAGTGAGTGAGTCTAGCAATCATCAATATTCCAGCTATATGGTGGCGGTCTGTAAATAATCGAGTCTGAACCAGACGATCCACAACATGAACATCAATTTACGTAACTGGGATACGCTGACATGTATCAACCAAGTCAGCGAGCCTGACCACCCGATCCCGTTAGTCGCCTATTACGACAAGCATGGGTTACTGAAGGTCAATTCTAACCCGGATCTTCATTGGTCTTCATTCTGTGTGTGTACTGTAGGCGTGTGTAGAGATGCGTTCCCTAGTCTTTTCAGTATCCGTGAATTGAGTTGGATCCATGGTCCATCAGCATTTATTCTCGTGGCTTTGTCACGGGTGACACCAGTAGGACACGAACCGCCCACCTTTTGGCGAAGACCAGACATCGACAATACTTGATGCTACGGACGAAATCACACTGGATACATTTATATGCCGTCACGTGGTTGTTGATGTAACGTACATCCCAGTAGGTGTCAATATATACATCAAGCGACCTGTTCAATTTCAAAACACATATCATCAAATAACATATATGATAAGGGTGGGTATTGCAGAGAATTTTCATATTGCGATATATTGCAATGAGAAAGCATATATTGCGATGTGTATTGCAATATATTGCAAGAAATTGTTTTTTTAACAATAAACTACTTATAATCGAGTTAACGCTTTATTTATAAAGCAAAAACACAACAAAATCACTACGCTTGATCAAGCTTTAATAAAAACTTTTAATTATGACAAAATAAGAACATAAATATTATTTGCCACAAATGAAACAAGGAAAATTATTATTTAACATCAAGACAATATATAGAAGTTGACATCCATAAATCTTGCTTTTCTCAATTAAATGTAATTTTAACCACACTCATTCCCACCACCATTACCACAGTTGCCACGATCGTCAAGGTTTCCGAGGGTTACGAAGTTTCCGAATGCATGTCAAAATACCGGTTTTCGATCAGCGTATCGCAATACGTATCGTTTTCACGTCTGAACCGGTTAATACCGGTAAACCGCTTGTATTGCGCAGCCCTAATATATAATTCCATGGTATTCTTTGATCATGAAATATGTATATATTTTCAATGTTGAAAAGTCTGCAAAAGTCAAAGTTTTCAATAAATACAATAAATCAATGTTATTCATCAGTCCAAACAACACATTTTGGATCTATTTGTACTGGTCCACAGGCGACATCATAGTTCTGTAGATATTTTGGGAAGTGAAAGAGCGGGAACCTTGCGAAATAACGAATCAGCATATCAACGTTAGTTTCAATAGACAACGCTAGTAATGTTTCAAGGTGCGGCCGTCTTATTGTTCACGAGGTGGTTAAGGTACGTTTATTATGCATCATGGGAGTGTTACATTCCAAAATCAACAGCATTGATAGTGCGGTTAGTGACCCAAAACATTGTGAACCAAAATACCCAGCCATAAAACTGGCGCTGAGTCATTGCACGTAATGCGCATTGCATACTGCATACGTGACTACTGACGTGGATTACCTCCCATGACCTTCAACTCGATACTGACGTTTATGTCATACCTCTATTCACAACAGAAAACAAAACACGAACACGTTTCACCCTCTGCTTTCTTTAACCCTAGATGATCCTGTTTAGAATTGATTTTAAGTATCCCACGCTTGTCGTAAGAGACGACAAACGCGATCGGGTGGTCAGGCTCGCTCTCTTGATTGACACATGTCATTGTATGCCAATTGTGTAGATCGATGTTCATGCTGGTGATCACTAGATTGTATGGTCTAGACCATTATTTACAGACCGCCGCCATATAGCTGTAATTAATATTGCAGAGTGCGGCGTAAAACTAAACTTACTCACCCACTCTGGTGTCTTTGAAGATCTGATGTATCAGAATGCAAACATTCTCTGTCTTCAGGATTGTATTTTGACAGCTCTTACGCAAACTCTTCAAGTTACTATCGTTACGATGACTCGGTGACCTTGACACAATACGGCGTCCACATACGTTGAGATGTTGATTTCATTCAAATGGTCAAGTGGTTGGCATTGATCAATCATACATATGTTGAAACTGGCGAGCATGTAAAACACCTTGTTGATCACTGCTGACGAGGTCATTTCATGTTTAAGTGTTGACCTTGCTGTCATAAACATCAAAGCTGTATTTCTTCATCTTAGGGACCGTTCATAATTTATGGCGTGGGGGGTGGGGTGTGTATGATGATGAGTTTTATGGAGAAGCATGTACAATGTGAATGACCCCCCCTAAAATTTATGTACAAAGTAAGTGACCTCCCTGCATGTATAATTTCTAAGAATAATTTTAAACATATTTTTATGTACAAAATTGCTGACCCCCCCTTGTACGTGTGTACAAAACTGATGACCCCCCTAGATCCCCAGAACAAAATGGGTGACCCTCCTAAAATCATCATCAACAAACTACACACACACACACACACACACCCCACCCCCCAGCCATAGTGTTAAGTTTTTTTCTTTCAGTCGGCATCATAACGGGTAATATGCACTGTCAATTCGTCTCTAGTATGTGCTAAATGGCCCGTGTTTATTATATACCTATTTAAGAAATGTTGTTAAGGGTATCATTCCCATGACTCCAACTGGTCTATTCGTCACGCCTCGTTGGAATAACTGTACATGTAACTAGTCGTGTGGGTAACAGTATGCAATATCAGGATCAGTTGCAAGGTAAGCACCTGTCGATCTTATTTCTCTCAACGTACAATTCATGAGTCAATTGAGAACAAAGTTCAATTGATATGATATATATGAGAGCACAAAACGGTGTGTTTACAGAGATGACATTTGACAGAATGACTAATGTAAGTATAATACACAGGCTTGCGAGGTCCTGAAGCATCGAATAATGTAGTGCGCATGTAGGACCCAGGACGTATTATTTTCAGCAATACAAGCCCCTGTGGTGCGTCACAACATCAACGTTCAATGGGCATGATTGCGAATGTCAAGAATATCCACAAAGTACGTTAATAACAACAGAAAGTTTGAATGAGTAGTGAAACCAAACAGTTTCTGTGTTACACCAACATTGTCGTTGTGTCCTGTTGTCAATATATATGTCACGTGTCTATTATTTTCAATGGTGGCAGTCAAGCGGATACACAATACAACCTTGAAAGTAAAGTGGCCTGTTCAGGTTTCGCCATGACTTAGCGAAGTGCAGATTTGTGTCACAGTTACAGGGGCTAAGGTAGGACTCTCTCTCTCTCTCTCTCTCTCTCTCTCTCTCTATCTCTATCTATTTCTCTCTATCTATCTCTCTCTCTCTCTATCTATCTCTCTCTCTCTCTCTCTCTCTCTATCTCTCTCTCTCTTACCCCCCCCCCCCCTCTCTCTCTCTCTCCTTCCCTCTCGCTCTCTCTGTGTCTCTCTCACTCCTCTCTTCCGACCCGTGAAGGTCCGGTACCTTCAGTAACCCATGCTTGTCGTAAGAGGCGACTAACGGGATCGGGTGGTCAGGCTCGCTGACTTGGTTGACTTGTCAACGGTTCCCAATTGCGCAGATCGATGCAGATGCTGTTGATCACTGGATAGTCTAGTCCAGACTCGAATATTTCCAGCCCTCCTCCATATAGCTGGAATATTTGGAGTGCGAGCGTAAAATCAAACTCACTCTCCCAACCCCCAAACCCCCACACACCCTCCCCTACACCCCGGGTTGTGGCTCAAATCCCAGACACGCCCAGCGATATGTACGACGTCAGACCCATACCAAGTAGATATCACTTTGAACGCTGACCTTGCGCCAGTACAGCTTGTTATAATGCACAGGTTATACTGCACAGGTTATCTTGCACAGACAAAATAAACAGTCATACCTACCATCCGTGTTAGGTTAACATAGCTGTTATATACTCTTGTCACAGTTCCGTTGGTTACGGTACATTGTCGCATTGAAATATCGTTCTACAATTTCAGAATAGCTGAATGGATTCTGTGGAAACCAGGAACAACCACGTAATACATAAAGACACTCACAGACATACAGAGCCGGGCACAACACTGATGTCGGTGTTGTGCCCCGGTCACAGAACCAGTTGTGCTGTCAGTATCTACATTATCATCCTACTCACCTCATTGTTGTTACAAACGGCGGCGAACACAGCTCCTGTGAGTATTAAAATCATAGTGAGATAATGCGATAATCTTTTTCAAGGCTTAAAGTGTTTTTGAAATATTATCCAAAATAGTGTCAGAAAGTGTACGCAGTGTAATAGTTATAGTTCACATCGTCAACACCATGGATTTTGATTGAGTAGGGATGAACGAATCTTCCATGTTAGACAGATCACATTTTGAAAATCTTGAAATCTCTGCAATGCATATCGGGATATATGCTTCTTCACCAATAATTGTGGATGAAAAACAAATATTAATGCCGTTGTAATGTAACATTAGAACGTAGATCCCTTTCCATTGACGATAATCAAAACTGGAATGAGTTTAGTTTTACGCCGCATGCAACCATATTTCATCTATATGGCGGCGGTCTGTAAATAATCGAGTCTGGACCAGACGATCTAGTGATCAACAGCATGAACATGGATCTACGCAATTGGGATACGATGACATGTGTCAACCAAGTCAGCGAACCTGACCTCACGATCCCGTTAGTCGCCTGTCACTTACTGAAGAACTATTCTAACCCGGATCTTCACGGGTTTAACCAAAACTGAAATATGGTAAAATAACTAATACATGACACAGGTCTCCAGAAGAACGTAATTTGGAATCATGTGCCTCCTCCTATAACTGTGAATAGTGATTCCATGCAGTGGTAACAAATGTGAACACAAAAGTCAAAACCCCTTTCCATCATTGGTGTGATAAGAGGCTATTTCAATTTCCCTGGATTTTGGGAAATTGATTAATTTAATTTAATTTGATTTACATTTTGTTTTTTAAATTTGTTTTTAATGTCGGAATTGTTCATGTTCACATTTTTCAAACATGCTTTGTGTAACCTATCAAATCGGATCTGACAACACATTCTAGCAGTGTATGAAATAAGCCAAAAATCTAGCCAGACATCAGGGCTGGTAACTTCAAAATGTCACCAGCCCAAAATGGATTTAACCAGACCAAATATGGTGAAATTACTTAGATGTATGGAACATCTAAAAATTTACCAGACCATTGGGCTGGCTAGCTGTAAATTTAGAACGTCCGTCAGAAATCTACACCGTCTCGGGCGGTCGGACGGGCCTTATTTCCTACACTGATTTTACCGTTGCTTATGCATTTGATGGGCTTGTAAAACAAAGTTCTGAGAGGAACAAAGTCGCCTACACGTAATTGATACTGAATGGTAATTTTTCTACGAATGCTGATACCTAAAGCAAAATAGGTAACCTGTCATACTTTATCCCAAGTAATGTATGCACACTTATGAATGAACCTTGAGGGTCTGGGTTAGAATGGACCTTCAGCAACCTGTACGTGTCGTGGGAGATGCCGGTGGGGATCTGGTGGTCAGGTTTACTGATTTGTACACTTTATTGATTCACGTTAAACCTTAATCATATTGCGTAGATCAATGTTCATGATGTCCATCACTGGATTGTCTTGTCCAATTATTTACAGAGCGCCGGAATAGCTGGAAAGCGGTGACTGTGGCTTTAAAAAACACGCAAACAAACTATAATTGTAACGAGAAGTGTTTTGTATTTTTTTGACAATTTTATCTTGTTACAGTCCGACTGTATATTTTCTCACCCTGTCTGTTTCAGGACCCAGGTGGCCTGACCACATACACACACGGCGAGAACATATGTATCAAGTGTAAACCTGGAACATTCCTTTACAAACACTGTTCGAGGAACTTCACATTCTCGGTGTGTCATCGATGTCCGCCTCAACACTTCCAGACACATCACACACAGGCCACCCGCTGTGCACCCTGCCACGCCTATTGTCTCCATGACCGGAACATGGTGCAAGTCCAGGAGTGCTCTGCCACCCATGATGTGTTGTGTGAGTGCCGGGACGGATACTTCCAACAAACACAGGGGGGTGGGGCACGCAGGGATACGTTACTGTTCCCCATACACGCCCTGTCAACCTGGCCAGGTTATAGTGAAAACCGGTAAGTGCCTAAGTGAGTGACTTTAGTTTTACGCCACTTTTAGCAATATCCCAGCTATATCACTTCGGGGGACACCAGAAATGGGCTTCACACATTGTACCCTTGTAGGGGAATGGAACCCGGGTCTTCGGCGTGACGAGCTAAACGACTTAACCACTAGACTTCCCCATCCCCTCGGTAAGTGCTTAAAAGTCACAATGTATATCTGTTCATCCGTGAACATCTGGATGCAGACTAAGATGCAACTGGTCACCTTTCTGTGTTACGTTATCCTGATGCTGTACGTCTTGCCCTGTCTGACTTATGCTTGGTGATGCAATGTCACGCAGTGTTATCGATGCCCTTTTCTTGTTATCCTGGGGCGTCGGGGTAGCCCAGTGGTTAAAGCGTTAGCCGAAGACCCGGGTTTGAATCCCCACATGGGTACAATGTGTGAAGCCCATTTCTGGTGTCCCCTACCGTGATGTTGCTGGAATATTGCTAAAAGCGGCGTAAAACCAAAACTCAGTCAGTCAGTCTTGTTGTCCTTTTCTTGTTTTATCCTTATGTTTTGCTTAAAACAAACCATGCTGTGCCATGCCATACCACCATTATTTTCAGACCGTCGCATACAGCTGGAATATTGCTTAATGCGGTGTTAAACAAACTGACTAGCCAACCATTACACAGATCTGTCTCTTCCTTTATGTCTTCTTGTATTCTCATCTGTTTTCGTATCAACTATGTTTTTTATTCAGCATATTTGTTCTGATCGGCCGTCCCCTATAGGAAAATACACAGACCAGATTGTTCCTCACGTATCATTGATTGTAAAATGATATAATAATATAATTCCTATTAATGCATCCAGGTACTAAGGAATCTGACCAAGAGTGTGGTCACTGTGCCTCCGGATATTTTGTCGAGGGAGGTAACTGCAAACAGTGTTCGTTTTGCGGCGAAAACTCCACAGTTCTGAGTCGCTGCACTCATAACACAGACACCGTGTGTTCAGAGCCAGATGTGGTACAATCAGAGGGTATGTGACAATGTCACCTAGGATTTGAACTTAGGGAACATATATACTCATGCCAATAATAGTTGTTTTTTTAATTGGAGAGGGTGTGCGGGGTGGGTGTGAGTGGGGTTGGGATGGGGAGGGGAGGGGGGTGACAACCATTATTGGTACGAGTATATATAAGAAATGACAAACCGGTACTAAACAGTTTAATCTTCTCAGACATTTATCTTTTTCATTGTACGTTGCCGATTGTACATTGAGACAATGGAACAAGTGGTTAATAGTCAGTCATTCGACATATAGTAAACTACGGTTATTGCGAACTCAGAGGGACTATTTTCGAGTTATGACCCGAGTTCGTTATTCGTATTTCGGCTAAAACATAAAAACTGGCCATGATACACAAAAAAACAGTTCGCCAGTTCGTTATAAGCGTGTATACTGTAAGTGTTCGTTTTAACCATAGTTTACTGATTATATTTGTTGCGGGGATCACCAAAGGTGCCTGGGATTATGACCATCATCATACATATGGACAAGATAGATGTCGCATGTGCCTAGCTAATAATTCAGATTGTTTATTCCAATTTGAAAACTCAAATAATACATTCAATTCAGTTTTTAAGAATATCAAAGTGGTGCCGCATGAATATAACCACGTATTAATATATTCTCTATGGTTCTGTTTTAGAAAAAGATGATATTCTTCAAGAACAGTATGAACATCATAAAACGACCAATAACCTGTCAGTGCTGATACCTATTGGGGTGCTTGTTTGTGTCTCCTTGAGCATATTGGCAGCTTTGTGCTTCTTCTGTAAGAGGCATTCAAGGAACAGCTATCTCACAAAGGACAAAACCAACAGGTATGCTGTGGAAGTAGTGTACTATTGCACATTCCTTTTAGATGACAACTCGACAAGTTGACTATGGTATGTTTGCTTCTGCTCTCTACTGCCACTACTTTGTTTTAATGTAGATATAGGATTATTTACTCGTAACATTACACAAAGCATGTTATTGATTCATGTATACTGCCAATACGTTGTATTCATGTCGATGTAGGATCATATGCTCCAAACATTTCACAATGTATGTTATTGGTTCATGTAACTGCCAATACGTTGTCTTCATGTCGATATAGGATCATATACTTCGCTCATTACACAAAGCATGTTATTGGTTCATGTAAACTGCCAATACGTTGACTTCATGTCGATATAGGACCATATGTTTCACAAATATCACAATGCATGTTATTGATTCATGTATACTGCCAATACGTTGTTATCATGTCGATGTAGGATCATATGCTCCAAACATTTCACAATGTATGTTATTGGTTCATGTAAACTGCCAATACGTTGTCTTCATGTCGATATAGGATCATATACTTCGCTCATTACACAAAGCATGTTATTGGTTCATGTAAACTGCCAATACGTTGACTTCATGTCGATATAGGACCATATGTTTCACAAATATCACAATGCATGTTATTGGTTCATGTATACTGCCAATACGTTGTATTCATGTCGATGTAGGATCATATGCTCCAAACATTTCACAATGTATGTTATTGGTTCATGTAAACTGCCAATACGTTGTCTTCATGTCGATATAGGATCATATACTTCGCTCATTACACAAAGCATGTTATTGGTTCATGTAAACTGCCAATACGTTGACTTCATGTCGATATAGGACCATATGTTTCACAAATATCACAATGCATGTTATTGGTTCATGTATACTGCCAATACGTTGTATTCATGTCGATGTAGGATCATATGCTCCAAACATTTCACAATGTATGTTATTGGTTCATGTAAACTGCCAATACGTTGTCTTCATGTCGATATAGGATCATATACTTCGCTCATTACACAAAGCATGTTATTGGTTCATGTAAACTGCCAATACGTTGACTTCATGTCGATATAGGACCATATGTTTCACAAATATCACAATGCATGTTATTGGTTCATGTATACTGCCAATACGTTGTATTCATGTCGATGTAGGATCATATGCTCCAAACATTTCACAATGTATGTTATTGGTTCATGTAAACTGCCAATACGTTGTCTTCATGTCGATATAGGATCATATACTTCGCTCATTACACAAAGCATGTTATTGGTTCATGTAAACTGCCAATACGTTGACTTCATGTCGATATAGGACCATATGTTTCACAAATATCACAATGCATGTTATTGGTTCATGTAAACTGCCAATACGTTGTCTTCATGTCGATGTAGGATCATATACTTCGCTCATTACACAAAGCATGTTATTGGTTCATGTAAACTGCCAATACGTTGACTTCATGTCGATATCGGACCATATGTTTCACAAATATCACAATGCATGGTATTGGTTCATGTATACTGCCAATACGTTGTCTTCATGTCGATATAGGATCATGTTTCACAAATATCACAATGCATGTTATTGGTTCATGTATACTGCCAATACGTTGTCTTCATGTCGATATAGGATCATATACTTCGCTCATTACACAAAGCATGTTATTGGTTCATGTAAACTGCCAATACGTTGACTTCATGTCGATATAGGACCATATGTTTCACAAATATCACAATGCATGTTATTGATTCATGTATACTGCCAATACGTTGTATTCATGTCGATGTAGGATCATATGCTCCAAACATTTCACAATGTATGTTATTGGTTCATGTAAACTGCCAATACGTTGTCTTCATGTCGATATAGGATCATATACTTCGCTCATTACACAAAGCATGTTATTGGTTCATGTAAACTGCCAATACGTTGACTTCATGTCGATATAGGACCATATGTTTCACAAATATCACAATGCATGTTATTGGTTCATGTATACTGCCAATACGTTGTATTCATGTCGATGTAGGATCATATGCTCCAAACATTTCACAATGTATGTTATTGGTTCATGTAAACTGCCAATACGTTGTCTTCATGTCGATATAGGATCATATACTTCGCTCATTACACAAAGCATGTTATTGGTTCATGTAAACTGCCAATACGTTGACTTCATGTCGATATAGGACCATATGTTTCACAAATATCACAATGCATGTTATTGGTTCATGTATACCGCCAATACGTTGTATTCATGTCGATGTAGGATCATATGCTCCAAACATTTCACAATGTATGTTATTGGTTCATGTAAACTGCCAATACGTTGTCTTCATGTCGATATAGGATCATATACTTCGCTCATTACACAAAGCATGTTATTGGTTCATGTAAACTGCCAATACGTTGACTTCATGTCGATATAGGACCATATGTTTCACAAATATCACAATGCATGTTATTGGTTCATGTATACCGCCAATACGTTGTATTCATGTCGATGTAGGATCATATGCTCCAAACATTTCACAATGTATGTTATTGGTTCATGTAAACTGCCAATACGTTGTCTTCATGTCGATATAGGATCATATACTTCGCTCATTACACAAAGCATGTTATTGGTTCATGTAAACTGCCAATACGTTGACTTCATGTCGATATAGGACCATATGTTTCACAAATATCACAATGCATGTTATTGGTTCATGTAAACTGCCAATACGTTGTCTTCATGTCGATGTAGGATCATATACTTCGCTCATTACACAAAGCATGTTATTGGTTCATGTAAACTGCCAATACGTTGACTTCATGTCGATATCGGACCATATGTTTCACAAATATCACAATGCATGGTATTGGTTCATGTATACTGCCAATACGTTGTCTTCATGTCGATATAGGATCATGTTTCACAAATATCACAATGCATGTTATTGGTTCATGTATACTGCCAATACGTTGTCCACATGTCGATATAGGATCATATGTTTCAAAAATATCACAATGCATGTTATTGGTTCATGTATACTGCCAATAAGTTGTCTTCGTGTCGATATAGGATCATATACCTCACAAATATCACAATGCATGCTATTGGTTCATGTGTACTGTCAATACGTTGTCTTCTTGTCGATATAGGATCATATGTTTCACAAATATCACAATGCATGTTATTGGTTCATGTATACTGTCAATACGTTGTCTTCATGTCGATATAGGATCATGTTTCACAAATATCACAATGCATGTTATTGGTTCATGTATACTGCCAATAAGTTGTCTTCATGTCGATATAGGATCATATACTTCACAAATATCACAATGCATCTTATTGGTTCATGTATACTGTCAATACGTTGTCTTCATGTCGATATAGGATCATGTTTCACAAATATCACAATGCATGTTATTGGTTCATGTGTACTGCCAATACGTTGTCTTCATGTCGATATAGGATCATATACTTCACAAATATCACAATGCATGTTATTGGTTCATGTATACTGTCAATACGTTGTCTTCATGTCGATGTAGGATCATGTTTCACAAATATCACAATGCATGTTATTGGTTCATGTATACTGCCAATAAGTTGTCTTCATGTCGATATAGGATCATATACTTCACAAATATCACAATGCATGTTATTGGTTCATGTATACTGCCAATAAGTTGTCTTCATGTCGATATAGGATCATATACTTCACAAATATCACAATGCATCTTGTTGATTCGTGCATATCGCTGTTGTATTCATGTCGACATAGTCATATGTTTTTACTCCGCTCAAACATGAAAGTGATCTAGCTCTATGCAGGCGGTACAGCCTCTCACATAGTGAATGTGTTAATGAACAGATAAACGATATGCAATCTTCCAGAATACCATGTCATCATTTATTTTGCAATTTCAGTGCTGTTCCCTTGTTGCTGGTTTCACCACCACAAGCAACATGTCCACCTACACACGAAACGGTTCCGGCTCCACCTCCACAAGAAACGGTTCCCCCTCTGCCAGAAACTGGTTTATCGCTCAACACAACACAAATGCAGGGTAGACGTGTAAGAAGGCGATCATCAATAAAAGTTTTTCCTCTACAGACATCCCGGAGGCCCAGCGTCTATTTGGAACTAAAAGGTAGCCAACACATCACACCATGAAGAAGCACTAATTTGAAGCTTTAACACATATTTGTTTTGAGTCAGACGTCTTTCTGCAATATCAATTTGAGGTGGAAGTCATCCCCAATAGTCAATATCGATGTGGTATGGGTAATTACAATATTGAGTAAAGTTCCTCGCGTCAGTCGTTTAACGTCGTACCAATGACGGATACCATTCTGTTGACAACTACTTAAGGTGCAAAGAATGGCATTCAGCAAATGTGACTGGAAAATCAAACTCAAATTTACCAACTCTGTCAGAAGTTGATTTTGGGTGGGTTGTTTTTGGAAAGATATATGAACAAGAGAATACATTTGGCACAAATATTTGTCTGTCATCAAAAATATCTAATTAAACCATGGGATTTTTCTACTGACCAGGAATCTGTACTCATTAAACGGCCAACTGACAAGAAACTATTTCTAATGGTTTGTACCTGAAAGGTGTCGTATGCTTACCTGTATGTCTGAAGCCCGGGACTAGTATCAACAGAAAATTGTTCCTGAAATGATGCAGCTAAATCTTGATGCATCTCTGTGTTTATGGGTAGGTCTGTTAAGACCTGTGTGCGGTGGGCATAGGCAAGTGGTTAAAGTGTTCGCTCGTCATGTCGAAGACCCGATTTCGATTCCCCAAACGGGTACAATGCGTGAAGCCCATTTCTGGTGTCTCCCACTATAATATTGTGGGAAATATTGAAATATTGCTAAATGCGACGTAAATCTAAACTCACTCACTATTAAGACGAAATATTCAACCGGTTTTCTGCTGAAATATTTACTGACAGAATGCGACATTCCTATTATGCTTCGGCTTGACTATTGTTGGTTTCCTGTTTTACGCCGCACTCAGCACCATTCCAGCTATATAATGACGGTATGTAGATAATCCAGTTTGGACAAAACAATCCAGTGATCAATAGAATGAACATCGATCTACGCAACTGGAATACGATGCCATGTGTCAACCAAGTCAGCGAGCCTGACCACCCGATCCGGTCAGTCGCCTCTTACGACAAGCATAGGTTGCTGAAGACCAGTTCTGACCACAGGCCTAGTGTCATAAGTTTTCATATTTTGTAATATCTTTAATCCTCGTAAAGACACGAAGGCCTGTGGTTCTGACCCGGATCTTCACGTGGTGACTATATACCGACTAGGATATACCGATATACCGACATTTCTCAGGTCAACTATTTAACTTTTTACTGATAAAATGTGATATTCCATTTGGATTCGTGTTGTCCTCTTGAATATTTAACTACTGTTCCATCACTACACTTGTATTGTGGACCTATTGCAGATCCATCGTCCTGGACTGGACCCATCTTCAAGATTCTATGTGCCCATCTGACTGGAAACTGGAAAATGTTCATGCGAAACTTGCCAGGTAAGATCTACATTTACTTTTTTCAGGTGAACTTGCAATAGATGACCATTGACACGTGGATGTACCGCTATAAGGACAAACTTCCTTATAATCCTGCAGATCGAAACAGTTCAGGAAACAAAAAAATATTCACTTATCAATGTAGATGAAAAAAGAAAGACATTACTTTATTCAAACATTACTACCGTCATTATAACCGATTTTCTGTTCAAGGTTTTGGGTTTTCATAACAGAATACCAATAATACCAGTGATAGAATGTCTTCATTATTTCCCTAAAACGACCTGAAAATAATGTGAATAATCAGATCGTGATACAGGCTCTCCTTCCTTTATCACACACAAAGCCTAAAAGTCCCATGCTTCATGTATATTCATTCCTCTGGATACTTCATCTGTTGAGAGCAGGCCTGTTTTAATGAGGTTAGGAGATAAACATCATGTGTTGACCAATTTCCGGATGTTATTGAGTATTTGAAGCACGGGATTTCATTTGGAACCGACGGCGTCAGCCGGGGGTTTCAAATAAAATATTTCCGTGCTTCAAATACTTGGCCAATACATGATTAGAAACTGGCCATTACATGATGTTTATCGACACTGTAAACACAAAAGTAAACCAAAAGGTCCACACACGTTTTTGTGTCTGCACTCATTGAAATCGAGTACGGGTACAGCAGTGAAATGTCATCAGCCGGCCGTTTCGGCTGTCTCCCATGGTAGCATGTGGAACTGCTCATTTGTGACGTCATTCACAATATGATTTGAATGACGTCATCACAGCTGACGACGTAACAGCTGTGAGCGATGTTTGTATGTATTAATACGCACGAATTTCCGGGAATCGAATACCATTTGATCACGTTTTTCAACCAATCAGATAAAAGAACACAGTGACTTTTGGTTTACAATATCTATTCTATCCCTGGTTATGTTCTCGTATAACAAGTCTCGTCATCAGTTGGTTATTCGTAACCAGGTCTAACATCCATCTGCAAGTAATTGTTATCATCCTGTCGTTATAGGTTTAAGTGAAAATCCACTTCATCCACATTAACATGTAGTAAACTACGTTTATAACGAACTGACGGATATAACGAACTGTTCTTCACCCAGCCACATGCTGTATAGTTTAGTTGAAAGGTGTATAACGAACTACAATTAGTGGTTCCTTTGAGTTCGTAATAACCGAATTTTTCTGTATTTTCTGATTTTTAAGGTGACGAAGACTACAAATCGTCAATTGACGCGCGATGTGAGCAGATTTGTGACGAGGTCAGAAACAACGTTCCGGAACAGATCTACACTGCTCTCAGAGAGTGGTCACAAGCAAATGTGCACCCAGATGTGTCTGTGGAGAGCATTCTAACTTCACTGGAGACAATTCGAGACGCTGAGGATTTGCGGAAAAGGGTGTCAGAAGCAGCTCTGAAGCTAAACGAAAACCACTCAAAAGATTGCAAAGCTGAATAGAACGTTACCGCAACTGTATATTTTAGGCCCATTGTTGTGACTCAAATCTAATCACAAGATTATCTGGTCGTTGATCGCCGAACGCCTTGATCAATTTAATAATTGTACTTAGTTTGTTCCAAATCTACTGGTCCAAACTTTTGTGTAACCATCTTATAATGCAAATCCCTTCCGGATCATACGTACAATACCCTTAACTACCATGGATGTTCATGCTGCTAATTTAAATCCTAATTACAACTGTGATAGGTGCATTTACAGTCCGGGGCCCCATTCCCCAAAGCGATCGTAGCGCTTCAACAGTCGCAAGTCTATGTTAAATGTATGGAGTTACGATCATCTGAGTTACGATCGTTTTGTGGAACGGAGAATCCTGGAGCTCTTACTAAAAACTAAACCTGTAAATGCATAATAAATCGTTGTAACTCGTGCCTTTCAACTACATTACAATCCAACATATGTTATATTTGGGATTACACTTGCTTAGTAAAGTACATGTTCTAGTACTTTTGGGGGTTGATTAATATCCAGGATTCGAACCCACACCCTCAGAGTCAGGCACCTAATCGCCAGCGCACAGAAAGTCAGCCGGCTAAAAGGCTCAGCTCGTGATGGCTGAGAGGGTTAGACGGCTGACTTTGTGAGCTGGCGAGTACTAAAATTTGAACTTTGCTAAGAAAGTGTAATCCCAAATATAACATAAGTTGCATTTGACCACTTTCTAAATGTCATTGTGTAGTCATACATTACAATCGATACATCCTATCCAGATATTGTTCACAATGACTTTATCCTAAACTCTTTAATATTCATTATACTTATTGTATCCCATTTATTTACTGTTTACATAATAAACACTGGCGAGATATTTATTCACCAAATTGTGATGACTGAGCTGTGTTGTTTTGACACTGGTGAGGCACTCCCAGGAAGGGATATCGACTTGTGAGGGACAGGGGGAACAACATTTGATAATTGAATATTCACTTGTGGGCGTTTAACATTCCACAGGTGAGGTGAGGTGAAATTGGGTTTAACGTCGTGCTGGTGAATATTTCGCTCATATGACGACGTGCATGCGTGTGTATGTGCGACTGCTTGTACTAGCCCAGACTTAAGCTGGTTTTATAGTTCTAGCCCTCTGAGATACCATGCCGCAGTGAAGCATGAATACCCCACTCAGACACATTATACTGACTCTGAGCCGACCAGTCCTTGTTGTACCCATTAATGCCGAGCGCCAGGCAGGGACCAACAAGTACCATATTTTAACGTCTTTTGGTATGACGCGGTCGGGGATCGAACCCGCGACCTTCCGCTCTCCCAATTACACAGTAGCAGACAGAATAGAAGAACGTCAGATTAACAGTTATTTACTGTTTTGTGTGTGCGTCACATGGGAATGTGGACACGTGTACATATGAAGCCACAGTCGGCTTCAAAACCACATCACATGGGAATGTGTATATCCACATATGGAGCCACATGTAGTGTGTGTGTGTGTGTGTGTGTGTGTGTGTGTGTGTGTGTGTGTGTGTGTGTGTGTGTGTGTGTGTGTGTGTGAGTTTAGTTTTTCGCCACCTTATGCAATATTCCAGCAATATCAGGGCAGGGGACTCCAGAGACGGGCTTACCACAATGTACCCATGTGGGGAATCGAACCCGGGTGTTGAGCGTGACGATCAAGCTATAACCACTAGGCTACCTCACCGCCCCGCCACATGTAGCTTTCGAATCACAAAACATTATTTCCACCAAAGAAGATAAGCATATGAATTACTTCCAAATATACATGACACCAGGTGTTCGGAAATGCTAGGGTGTTCTACCAGTGGCACTAGTCACAATACACGCGCAAAAGCACTTATCTTACCTTCATGTAAAATACTTTAATTTCATTGCTCAATGACGCTTTAACAAGTTTCCGTGTCAACACTCCTAGGTGGGTGACAACTGGAAAAATATTACCCGCTGCTACGGTGACCACCAAACTCTCCACCGAGAAGCTGTATCGCTAACAATCGTATGACATCATAATATAACGCATAAAGTGTCCGGAGTTCGAAAACCGTTCGATTAGCTGTTTTGAGTTCATTGTGTAGACATTTATTTCTCCGACTTTCACTACTTTTTAAAAACTATTTTTTACATTGAATCCTTTGCACAGTCAACATAAGTTTCAAGAGTGTCAGAATATGTTTCACTGATTTTAAAAATCCAGTTCAGAGTCAGACGCCATTTTATTTACATGTCATATAGTCGGTAGCGATCTTCCAAATAAAATAAAAATTATATTTTGTACATTTAACATGGCGGTAAGATAAATACGTTGTATGCTGCTCCCTCGGGTAATATGGTCTGATGTACGCCACTTTGTACAGTGTCATTCCTCGCCTACCGGCTACACTGCTACGAAAAGGCTTACATCAGACCGTATTACCCTCGAGAGAAGCATACAACTTATAGTGTCAGTATTTTGGCTTTTTCATTCAATTATCTCACCTCCCTACATTTGGTACCATATACCCTATGGATCATGAATATAACAAATAATGAATTATTGTACGGTTGTCATGTGAAAAAGTAATGTACGAAGTTGATTAATACAAGCGACAAAACCCTTTCCACATTCATACGAAGACTCTGCTGAAAGCAGAGTCGAGTGTACAATTGTGACTCTATCATAAGAATATATTTTTTTCAGCAGTATTACAGCTGTGTCAGTACAATTGGTTCTATTCTGTTTCAAGAAGTAAAAACGTACCTTCTGTCGTTCTACGGGATACCTCCCCCCTGGATACCACGGTTCTGTTTCAACCAGGATGTAGATAAAGGCTCCCATGATTGTCGTTATTTTCCCTACGAATCCATTGTCGGAAATAGTATATGTGTGCGTTACACATGAATACTGAAATAAGCAACACTTTATTCTGTTGTTTCATTCAACGGTGATACAAGTGTTCACGGTATATCCTATACTTTAAATCACATTGTCTCTAAATATACTGGACCGCAAAAGAAACGCAAGTCAAAATCCAGATTTATAAAAACTTTACTTTTGACAGATAATGCATAAAAACAGGTACATAATAACAATCAACACTTATTGCATGATGATTGGGACATGTCAGTCAATGCATGGAAACATTGTTGGTTTACTTTGCATTGAAGACAACATCGAAATTGACCCAACAAGTCAGTAGCGCGTATGTCCACCTCATGCATTCGCTACAGCTGTGCACCGCCTGAACATGGAGTGAATCAGATGGTTGATAAAGGCCCTAGGGATTGCCGCACATGTCCGGATGATGGCTGCCTGGAGTTCTGCTGCAGTTGTCGGACTTCATTCAGTCGTTTCTGCAGCTCGTCCCAAAAATGTTCGATAGGGTTTAAATCGGGTCTGACAGCAGTCGGATATTGTGCTGCGGGAAAAATACCTGAGTGACTCCAACGTGGGGCCTGGCATTATCTTGCTGGAAAATGTTTTGCTGGTGTCGGATGAGAAATGGCACAACCTGGGGTCGGAGGATCTGGTCGATATAACGTTGGGCAGCGACCCTATTTCCCCGATATTCTGGAAAATAATTGCCCTAATCTCTGATTCAGGCCAATCGCTGCCCATACCATAACGCTCGGACCTCCCCATGCATCAACTTCCATTACACATTCGTCAGCAAAGCGTTTACCTCGTCTTCGCCATATTCGAACTCGTCTGTCGGCATGAGAAATGCAAAACCGACTTTCATCAGAGAACAATACCAGTCTCCACAGTTGATGACGCCAGTTTCGATGCAACGTAGCCCACTGCAGACGATTCTGACGATGTCTCGGTGTGAGGATAGGACGTCGAGCTGGACGACGACAACGGAGGTGGAGTGCTCTGAGTCTGCGCCGAAGTGTATCTCCGCTTATTGCTCGGTTGTGACGTCCAATAGTCTGTCGGGCAGTCTCGTTGGCAGATAAGAATCGATCCCCGATGTGGGAACGTTGAATGTGTCGATCCTACCGTGGTGTTGTGACTCTCGGACGTCCAGGACGTTTGCGGACAGCAGTGGTCAGTGTAGCAGCAAAACGTTCCTGAAGACGGTAGATGGTCGTTATGTGCACATGGAATGCATTGGCAACATCTGCAACACTCTGTCCAGCTTCAAGACGGCCGATGGCTTGTTCCCTCTGTTGCGTCGTTAACCTTGGTATTCTTGGTTGGCGTTTGTCGGGAGCGATTTCAAACTGATTTGAGGGCATTTTTATACCCCTATGTGTCAGTGACAAAATGCGCATCATGATTTTCATGAAAAACTTCTGCAACCGCACCAAACGGGCAATTCAATTGCTGCGTTTTGGCGATGTGCAATATCCAAGAATAATCACCAAAGAGAGAGAGAGAGAGAGAGAGAGAGAGAGAGAGAGAGAGAGAGAGAGAGAGAGAGAGAGAGAGAGAGAGAGAGAGAGAGAGAGAGAGAGAGAGAGAGAGAGAGAGAGAGAGAGAGAGAGAGAGAGAGAGAGAGAGAGAGAGAGTTTTATTCAGTAAAGGGGCCACAGGCCCATTATACATCAGGTGTACAGAATATACAATTATTTGAGCACCGTACAACATCATGAGAGCTGCACAATTATACATTTGTGGGTACGGAGGCTGAAATAAATTTATTTCGTTTTTTCATGGCAAAAAATAGATATTTTGCAAGACAATTTATAGTATAAGTATTCTTTGATGTAAACAACTGGGCTAATTTCACTTCAGATGGATATATATGATTATATTTAGGGAGGATATCATTTCTTAATTTCCCATAAAAAGGGCATTCCAGGCAAAAGTGATATTCATTTTCTATGTTAGGTATGATACAAAGCGGGCACAGGCGATCCTCCCTTTTAAGACCTAAATGTCTACCGTACTCTATCATCAAATTGTGGTTTGAGCAACGAAATCTACTTAAGAAGATTCGAAACTGTTTTACACTAACACTATCGATATAGAACTCGAAAGATATACCTTCTTTGAGCCTGCGATAAAAATCCAATTTCGAAACAAGTATAATACGAGATGACCACAACTGGTTATCTATATCAATACATCTTTGCTTAAATAATGATATGAAGGTAGAGATATTTCGAACACTTTGACTGGCCCACACATTGCCAAAACCATAACTGTACAAAAGAGATTTCACCTTAAAAGCCCAACAATCTATACCTTTTTCAGCAAGACAATACTGATACTCATATACCTTATTTAAGATTGCATTCTCAACTTGAGACAGGAGTCGAACCCAATATTTAACAATCTTAATGTACTGATTTACCTTTAATGAATGACGACCAATCTCAGCACGCGCTGCAATATTTGGCGTGTATCTTGAGAGACCCAAAACCTGTTTACAGAACCTATCGTGTACATTCAAAACAGATGGCGACGGGTGGAAACCCCAGACTTCACTTCCGTATAGTAACAATGGCAGAACCTTGACATCAAATATGTGGAGCAAAACATTAATTGGTAGATTATAAAAATTCTTAACCGATGATTTGAAAATATTCAACACCTTCCATGCTTGGTCAGCCAAAGTTTTCTGTGTAATATACCATGATCCAGAGGAAGAGAAGTGAACACCCAAGTATTTATATGATGCGACAATTTCAAGCAACTGTCCATTCAAATGGAACTTTTCATAATGTCTTAGTCGACCGGCCTTCCTGAATACAATAACTTTACTTTTATCAAGATTTATTTTCAATTTCCACTTGTTACAATACGAAACTAGCTTGTCTAGCCTCTTTTGCAGACCTATAACTGTAAAGTCAAAAAGCGCAATATCATCAGCAAACAATAGGATGAACAGCTCAACTAAGTCTAGATTGATACCCCTCTGACCATCAGCAGATAGACAATCAACAATATCGTTGACAAAGAAGGAAAAGAGAAAGGGAGATAACTGGCATCCCTGACGAACTCCTGATAAACAATCAAAAAACGGTGTGTAACCATCTCTCATCGACACACAAGCTTTAACATTTTGGTACATATTTTTCAATAGCCTGTAGGTATTACCTTTCACGTTGCCAAGCCACAGTTTGTAAAGGAGACCACACCTATCGACTGAGTCAAAAGCGGCCTTCAAGTCAATAAATGCACAATAGAGGCGACCTTTGTAAAGTGAAAGATATTTATCAATTATAGCATTAAGAATGAATATATTATCATGTGTTTGGAAACCATACCTGAACCCAGCTTGTTCGTCAACGAAGAATTCTTCCCTTTCAGCCCAAGAGTTTAACCTGTTGTTGATAATTTTACAAAATATTTTACCAGTTACTTCAAGCAGTGTAATAGGTCTATAATTCCCAGGGCAATCAGTTTTACCTTTCTTATACAAAGGAATTATAACTCCATACGTCCACTGAGATGGATAAATACCTGTAGACAAAATGCTATTGAAAAGAGATTTCAATAAATCAATACAATGATGAGGTGCATTTTTAAAAAATTCAATTGGAATGCCACTGAGTCCTGGTGCTTTTCCATTATGCATTTCATGAATAGCATTAATTATTTCTTGGTAGGATATTTCTTTATCCAAATAGTCATTGTCCACAGATGAATCAATAAGTCTATCACTGATTGAATCAATGATTGACAGAAATATAGAAGTGTTCTTCATCGGCTGAACAATAGGAAGACTGAAAAACATTCTTGAAATGATTCATCCAGTCAAATGGTGTAATATTATTGTTTACAAATGATGATTTCGATTTCACAGTTCTCCAGAATAATTTACTGTTTTTAGTAGAGAGTGCGTTACTAAGTTTATGTGTGTAATCTGAACATGATGAAGACAGTTTCACAGCACACAACTGTTTATAGTGTGACACAGACTCAACATAACGTTGTCTATCAGATTTACAGTTACTTGCTTGAAAAGCACGCAGAAGGCGCCGAGCGGTATCACGTGCACTCTTGCATTCACCGTCATACCAGCTGTCTCCCTTTGGAACATTATTTGTCGACAATACACAAGATTTACAGAAACTGGCACATGATTGCATAACCGTATTAAAAAGTAACGAGGCCTCTTGAACATCACCGTTATCAATAAAGGAATGAAACTGGTTTATAACATCGGGTGGTAATACATCCCAGTTGTGCAGGTATTCTAGTAAACAGTCACTGTTCCATCGATATCTAGTTTTAGATGAAAGATTGTGGAAACGTTCATTATTATTCAGTGTCAATGAAAACGAAAATGTTATTGGCAGATGAGTCGACTAACTTCATCGGACACTTTAAAATCATCAAAAGTTCAAAAGCATTGTCCGAACAAAAGCAATATAGTCAACAACACTTTGTCCATTATTGGCAAAACATGTTATGTTACGTTTACCTTTATCATGAAATAGACGGCCATTACATATTCTCAGGTCCAATGTTTTGCAGAAGTTCAATAGGGCATAGCCACGTTTGTTGATCACAGTGTCACGTGATGCACGTGGTTCGATGGCGTCGTCGGTTATATAATCTATGTCATCATCAATCGGGAGATACCTCGGGTCATCATTAACAATATAATCTTTGTAACATCCATTCCCAGTGCGTGCATTCAAATCACCTTGAATTATAATTCTACAATCAGGTTCATTTGATCTGAATTTATTTACATCATCTTCCAAAAGAGTAAAAATAGCTTCATCAGCATGTGCACTGGACCTTGCAGGAGAATAGTAAACAACACCCATAAATATGGAAAAATGATAAACTGGTACACGCACACGTAACCATAGTATGTTGTTACTTTCCGTCGAGATTAATGACACAAATTCTGAGACAGTGTCGGCGATTAATACAGTTATTCCAACCCGAATTTCTAATGGCGCTGGCATGTTTTTGTCTACACTTCCCAAACACTGTATATCCTTGAAACAATAACTCCTCACTTTCATCTGACCACGTCTCCACGAGATATAAAGGTGAATTTTTTCAGAAAGTTGATGATATGTTCCCGGCAAATTTTCTTCTTTAGACCTTCTACATTCCACAGAACAGCAGTCCAGGACTTAGTTACTGCACGTGGGCCCTTGACCACGCCCCTATTTATTAGAGTCAGTATTAGGAGATCGAAGAGGAAATGTTTTTAACAGAACTAATTCATCTTCAGTGTCGTTCAGTCGATAAAGTTTGTTTTCAATTTGGATTTTATCACCTTTAAGAGTAGAGAATTTACCTTCGTTCCTGGCCTCGGTCATGAATCCTTTGAGTTTTTGCCTGGTAGACCGTACTTTTTCAGTGAAATCCTGTGAAATGGAGATACCGTGTCCTTTAAGAAGTTTGGCTGACTGTAAAATCCTTGTCCTGTGTCGGAAGTTTAGGCAGGTAACTAGCACCGGTCTGGCACCACGTGACTTCGATGGAAGGCGAATGACACGGTCAAATTCTCTGTGATACTCATTTTAACATCGAGAACTTTATTTGTAACGTCATCGTTAGATTCTCCAGATGTCTCTTTGATGTTGTACAGTATTATGTTGTTCTGTCTTGAGTTATTGTCCAGATGGTCAATTTTATTTGTTAAACGTTTCACAGTTGTTTTCAGTTCCTCATTTTCTTCTGTTAGTGTAACCACATCCTGTTCTATTTTTTTTATTTGACCGAAAAGTTTTTCAAAATTTTTCTGTGTCTCTCGTCTCATATCCCTAATTTCTTTTAGCGTTTCGGAATCACAAACCTCTCCCTCAATAGTTGTTCGTCTTCGTGGTCCTGGGTTTGACTCAATGTCGTTGGAAATGACGAGTAGCAACGACAAGAGCAGGATCATATGAAGATAGAGTCTAAGTCCCGCTGGCACGTGCAGCCCGTGAACTCGGATGGCAGCTTGTCTCGCTCTCACCGACATGAAGGCCATAAATACGCTTAAAAAGCATCCAGTTCTGGCTCGAAATGTTTCGTTATCACATCCCATCGTACTTGCATACACTTGTACACGTTTTTGGAGTGAAATTACAAGTCCAGACTTACGTTTAGGGCACTTTTCAAGCAATTTCACGGAGCACTACAAATACACGTCCGACCCGTATAACCACCAGGTGGCGCAGTCCGGTCACCTTAGCGCTACGATCGCTATATACAACGGCACCCAGGTAGTTAACAATTCATTGTAATGCTCCTATTTGTAACGCAAGACTTTTCTAATTGCTGAATACTGCCCTTAAACACGGTACTGTTACGTCTTAGACAAATCTAGGCTCATGAACTGATAGCGCTAACCCACTGTGACACCACCTTTTGTAAGATACCAGAATTAAACACCATATAGTGACTCCGAGCCGACCAGTCTGTGTAATACCTAGTAGAGAGTTAGTGAGTAAGTTGTGTTTATGGCCGCTTGAACAGTCAGTGTTCCAGTTATATTAGCCCGTTAATGTTGAGAAAACCCGGAGTGTGTCAGGTGTTGACGAGTTTAATTGCACCCAGAGGATGGGTATGGTGGTGGCACACCTACTGACATAATCGGGCCGAAACGGGATTCGAACCTACAATGACAGGTTTCTGGTGTGCTCAGAGAGTGAGTGAGTGAGTTCCGTTTTTACTCCGCACTCAGCAATATTCCAGCTATATGGCCGCGGTCTGTAAATATCAAGTCTGGACCAGACAATCCAGTGATCAACAGCATGAGCATCGACCTGTGCAATTGCGAACCGATGACATGTGTCAACCAAGTCAGCGAGCCTGACCACCCGATCCCGTTAGTCGCCTCTTACGACAAGCATGGGTTACTGAAGGTTCATTCTAACCGGGACATTCACTGGTCTCTGGTGAGCTCAGGGTATACAGAGCATTATATCATGTCCCGTTATATCCACCAATGAGACGTGCCATGTAACCTCTCCTGTTTGCCTAATACGTATATACAAAATATATCTGGGACAATATTGCATAGACGATTAGCCGTCCTCGAATTCTGAAAGCATGCGAAACACCGACTGACGGTGAAAGAAACACTTGTATAGATAACCTTAGAAATTAAGATTGCACAGTACACACCAACCAGGTAAACAGTCGTGTGATCTAGAAGGTTCGACATGTGAAGGGTGCAAAGGTAACGTTACGTGACTCACCACATTGCTTGTGAATGGCTGTTGACATTGTAATTCGAGCTAGATAACAATGAGACATCTTGATATCGCTTACCTCAAACACTACTGAGGCGAAGGTATGACACAGACGGGAAAGATTTGAGCTCTTTGTACATGAAACGTGAACGCTTGCCTGTATTAACAGTCGGCTCTCGGTCATTGAAGACAACAACTTGGTGAAAGTAACATGTATTTATCATTGAAGACAGATCCTTGAAGACACACGAGAATAGAGTATGATATATAACAGCGCCATCAACTAACAGTGGGTGTGGTTGCCATAACAGCCCATTTATTTCTGTGAATGACTGAATATTCACTGTGATTTTGTGATTCATTACTAACATACATGACGTCTCTGTGATTACAACTTGTGTCAAGGCTTGTGATTCTTTAAGGATATTCCATCATATATTACCTATTTTATTGCCATCGGGACATAGCGCGACAATGACGTTGACATATCTTCGCACTGGTATGAGCTTACTTGCCGCCCTCTGTGTAATGATGACTTTGTCGACTACATCTGAAGCCGCGGTAAGTACGTTAATTTGTAATCATTTAATTAACAATTCATAATGATATACGTAATAGTTAATTCCTAATATTGCGGGGTCAGATCACATAGCTATACCACACCAAGAGACAACGGTCCATATTATAAAGACAAACGTATCCGCTTCCCGAGGCAAGAGTGTCCAATAGTTTCCTATGTAGACTCTGTGAGACCTTAATGCTAGACCTTAATTCAAGTAGAATGTGTTCTGGACATATGACTCTCTCTCTCTCTCTCTCTCTCTCTCTCTCTCTCTCTCTCTATATATATATATATACCTTTGTCTGTCTTTCTGCTGCCCTCTCTCTCTCTCTATATATACCTTTGTCTCTCTCTTTCTGCTGCCCCCCTCTCTCTATTTATATATACCTTTGTCTTTCTCTCTTTCTGCTGCCTCTCTCTCTCTCTCTCTCTCTCTCTATATATATATATATATATAGATATATATACCTTTGTCTTTCTCTCTTTCTGCTGCTCTCTCTCTCTCTCTATTTTTATATACCTTTGTCTCTCTCTTTCTGCTGCCCCCCTCTCTATTTATTTATACCTTTGTCTTTCTCTCTTTCTGCTGCCCCCCTCTCTCTCTATTTATTTATACCTTTGTCTTTCTCTCTTTCTGCTGCCCCTCTCTCTCTCTCTCTCTCCGCAAATACAGCTTGTTATAATTCACAGGTTATCTTACAAATACAAAATAACAGTTACAGATACCATACACACTCACACTTATTCAAACTGGACAGTCTATGTAATATTGGTTCATGCTTGTGATTACAGATTATGCGGGACAACCCCAACTTAGGAACCTACACCCATAATAGATTAACCTGTTTCAAGTGCCAACCTGGAACCTACCTGGACAGACACTGCACTGAGGACTTCACATATTCTCTGTGTAATCCATGCCCTGTCGACACCTTCCAGTCTCACTACAGCCAGGCCACCAGGTGTTCCCCTTGCCACACCTTCTGTCTTCATGACAACAACATGGAGGTGGTACAGAATTGTACATCCATCCAGGATTTGAAGTGTCAATGTAAACAAGGATATTATTTACACGTGGCTGACGTGTTCTCGGATACAAAAACTTGTAAAAAACATAGTTCCTGCACCCAAGGAAAAGTTATCATAAAAAGTGGTAAGAAGTTGCATTTTCACTAAAACCACTTTATAATCAAAGCATAACAATAACGTTTAATTTAAAGCATCAGTGCTTTCGAAATATAATGTAATGTGATCTATCTGTCTTACATGTATGTATGTATGTATTGTATGTATTGTATGTATGTATGTATGTATGTATGTATGTATGTATGTATGTATGTATGTATGTATGTATGTATGTATGTATGTATGTATGTATGTATGCATGTATGTATGTATGTATGTAATATATGTAGGTAGGTAGGTAGGTAGGTATGTATGTATGTAGGTAGGTAGGTGTGTGTGTCTGTCTGTATGTATCTGTGTATGTGTGTATGTATGTATGTATGTATGTATGTATGTATTGTATGTATTGTATGTATGTATGTATGTATGTATGTATGTATGTATGTATGTATGTATGTATGTATGTATGTATGTATGTATGTATGTATGTAGGTAATATATGTAGGTAGGTAGGTAGGTAGGTATGTATGTATGTAGGTAGGTAGGTGTGTGTGTCTGTCTGTATGTATCTGTGTATGTGTGTATGTCTGTCTGTCTTTCTCTGTCAGTGTGTGTGTGTGTGTGTGAGAGAGAGAGAGAGTGTGTAATGATAACGGTGATCAACATTTCTCTCCTTTCCCGTTCCAGGAACATCAACTTCAGATATTGAGTGTGGCTATTGTCCAGATGGCCAGTTCTCCAAGGATGGACAATGCTGGACGTGCAGCTCATGTATTGGGGAGAACACAACGCTGGTCACGCCCTGCAATGCAACCTCTGATGCCACATGTCAACATCATCCCACAAATGGTAAGAACTGACACACACGATATATATCGACAGACCTACAAACTCAAAAACAGTAATATTGGTTTAAGCCGCTTCTAGCAATATCCCGGGGCGATGGGGTAGCCTAGTGGTGAAAGCGTTCGCTCGTCACGACAAAGGTCCGGGTTCGATTCCCCATATGTGCACAATCTGTGAAGCTCATTTCTAGTATCCCCCGCCGTGATATTGCTGGAATATTGCTAAAAGTGGCGTAAAACCAAACTCACTCACTCTAGCAATATCCCAACAGTGGACACAATAAATGCTTCAAATATAGTGCACTACATGGCGATCGAACTATTTAACATATAGGCTATCTACTTCCCCTTTACTAATGATAACACGCCTGTATGCATTCATGAAATCTATCATTGTATCTGTACACCTACTACTCGGTTGTACATGTCTTATTTGTTAAAGAGTGCTCTTATTTGAAAACGTTGCGACTAAGGGACCGTTCATAAGTTATGACTAGGGAGGGTGGGGGGTGATAATGATGTTTATGCAGAAGCATGTACAATGTGACTGACCCCCCTAACATTTATGTACAAAGTAAGTGACTCCCCCCTGCATGTCATGTACAAAATTAATGACCCCCCTAGAACATGTGTACAAAATTGATGACCCCCCCTACCTCCCATGTATGATGACAAAATCATACTACATGTGGGGATTAAGTGTTAGCAGTAATTTATGCAAAATATAGTTATTTTTCCTTTTTTTCAGATAGTAGCGATTTAGTTACAGAGATCACAGAAATACCGACTCACAAGAAGGATGGCAATGTAAACGTTGCAGTCGTGGCTGTCCCCGTTGTTCTGATGTTCCTCGTCGTAGCTGCATTTCTAGTAGTCTGCTATGTCGTTAGACAAAAAGGTGTTAAGGACATCTACAGCATTGAGCTGAACGAAAGAAGGTAATGATAAACCTCGCTGTTAGGATCTCACACACGCACGCACGCACGCACCCACGCACTCACACACGCTACCGGTAGCAGCCAATTAACACAATTTGCCTAAATCATGGGTTTATCATTACTGTGATGTTACAAGCTTTTCCATCAACCTCTCCCGGTCATGATGGAGCTAGTGTGATGGGGTAGATTAGTGGTTAAAGCGTTTGCTCGTCTCGCCGAAGACCCGGGCTCGATTCCCCACATGGGTACATTGTGTGACGCCCATTTCTGTGTCCCCAGCCGTGATGTTATTGCTAAAAGCGGCGTAAAACTAAACTCACTGAAGATGGAGCTGTACGACCGTTGAGTGTCCTTGACCGCTACATCAATTTACTCACTTTCCATTGACAAAAGAAAATGTGATGACTTGTTTCCATGTCTATGTGTGGTATTATGTATCAGCGTATAACTGTGGATATCGACAAATATTTTGGATGTATTTTTCAGAATCTCCGCCCCCTTAATTGACAGATCCGACTCCACATGTTCAACTCAACCTCTGAAGAAGAAACAGAGAACTTTCAGCGACAGCAGCGCTGTCAGTGCCAGGCCTGTTTCATCCTTCCCAGATCTAAATGGTACGTCAAAACTTAACTCTTTTCTTAGTGAAGAGTTCCCGCGTGTGTATAAGGGATAAATTTTACATATTGGTATATAAGCTACGAACATTATTATTGCTTATCCCTATTTGAAAATATTTGGTAATTGCTTTTGTTATACCATGTGGAATTCAATACAGCCTAGGTCATTCAACAATGATTATGGAAGGCGCGTCCCAGAGAAATAGTGGATATTGTAACTATCCCAGACTATTTTACAAACTTGTGTTCTATTCAGTACTCAGATGAATATTATGTGACCATTGCATCACCTTTCGGAGAGATAGCATTGTCTCATTTTACCTTTGCAGATCCAGACATGTGGACACGACCGGTATTCGACTTACTCTGCAGAAGACTCACAGACTGGAAACGGTTCATGCGGCACCTTCCAGGTATGTATCAACAGCCCTGTCTCACAAATAACCAATTTTTGAAAGAGTGATACAGTAAACTAATATTTCAATATTCCTATACAGGATACAATTAACGGGTCATTACCATTTGCGTTTCGCAGTAAAGCCATGTCTCAAAATAAGAAATCGTCTCAACCAAGTAGGACCATTGTTTAATTGTATCTGGTTATTCATACTAATAATGAATACATGACACGTTTTATGGATAACAACTTCTTTTTATTCTTTATACGACGTTTCAGAGCTAATCCTTGCTCCTTCATTCACTAAGCTAATTCGTGCTCCCTCGTTCACCTGATGAAGGGTCATGTATTCATGTTCGTCCAGCTCCTAAACGCTTCTAAGAACATCATACTAATAATGGTAGGTTCTGAAACACAATTCCCATTTGTTGTGATGGCCAACTTTGAATATTGTGCTTCTTTAAGGATTATCCTGTATGACCTACACATTGTCATGTCGCCTAATACATTATATACGGTAGTCATGGCTTGAAATACATTGTGTTTGTCTCACTGTGTAGGGGATGCCGATTATACAGCTTGTGTGAACAGTCGATGTGAACAAATTGAGAAAGAAGAACAGGGAATTGTTATGGAACAGATCCACAAGGCTCTGCAAGAGTGGTCCCAGGGGAATACAGACGAGTATGTTAAGGTTGATAGCATACTGGATACTATAGAACAAGTCTTTGAGCAAGATGGTAAACTATACAAGGATATTTGGGACTTGTGTTGTGACCTGGCCAAAAAACAAAAACAGCGAAATATTCCAAATGATATCGTTTGACGTTCCGGAAGTACTATGAACAAAAAAGACAACGTGCAAGGTTCCAATGTGTGGAACCAGTGGTCTGGGTATTCCTCAAGAAATTACCACTGTGCTGGAATTTAATTTACAGATGTTTCAAAATGGTTTTCATGGAACAAGTACTCATTATGCAAGCTATGCTTCGTTCAGATAGATGTAATTCTGTGATACTAAACCTGTAACCTGTGTTAATACCTGGAAGGACCTTGTACATTGGCCATGTGACTGTTATGCTGTAATGGAATATGTATCTGTTTCAAAGACAGATTGTTTACCCGGGTACCAATGGTCATGTGAATATCGGTTCTGTGCTGTGATGTAATGTGTAGCTTTCTGAAGCCAGAATGGTTACCTGGATTTGCTGACCCATATCCTCAAGGATAACAAACTGTGACTTGTGCTAATTACAAGAAGAACTTGTTACAGTGATCATCTGTGCCTTAATGGAATGTGTAGCTGTGTCAGCCGGAATGTTTAACATTGGGTATCACTGACCATGCTCAGCTGACCCATATCCTCAAGGATAACAAACTGTGACTTGTGCTAATTACAAGAAGAACTTGTTACAGTGATCATCTGTGCCTTAATGGAATGTGTAGCTGTGTCAGCCGGAATGTTTAACATTGGGTATCACTGACCATGCTCAGCTGACCCATATCCTCAAGGATAACAAACTGTGACTTGTGCTAATTACAAGAAGAACTTGTTACAGTGATCATCTGTGCCTTAATGGAATGTGTAGCTGTGTCAGCCGGAATGTTTAACATTGGGTATCACTGGCCATGCTCAGCTGACCCATATCCTCAAGGATAACCAACAGTATATTTCAATGACATATGTTGAAACTGACGTAACTTCACCATTGGAATACCTGGATCTCAGCGTATCCTCAAGGATAACCAATAGTATATCATAATAAGATATGTTGACACTGACCTGACTTCAAAGTTCACCATTGGAATACCTAGGTCTCCACATAATTCTTTGTTCTCAGAATCTGGACATGTGCAAATATGTATCATGTTATAATTCCGACAGGATTTAATCCGGTATTACCTAGTCTGTGTTATTTTACTCATATATTTACAAAAATGCGGGAGGTATCTGTTTCTGAAATGTTTTTACTATTTTTGTATATTGTTCCCACGGCGTCATTTATGGGTATTAAGTGGTAACTTTAGAATGTTCTAGTCACGTATGTATCGATGTGGATTACACGCAAACCCTTATAAGTTCGAATCCCGTTAATGTGGAAACAGGCTTTAAGGCTAGCTACTGTTGGTGTACATATATTAGAGCCACAATTATTTATGTCCACAAGTATTGTGTATGTTTATTTCTGTGTCTTTAGGGGGAAGACAGCTTGTCCGCCTGAACGATACTCCGCCTTTCTTTGTACACTTTTACAATGTCTTCATACATAATCTCACACTCCCGTTAGTGAGATCTGAGTGTTATTTTACACTGATCTACATTCGTTGTAAAAATAAACAATTTGAAACACACTTCTCAATGGCTTTATATGTTAATATATACACCCACATACACAACTTGAAGACAGACATATGTGTGCGTTCGGAATTATTTGCTAGAGGAATGTATCATTCTGTTTTGCATGTACAAACATTTAAAGAGAATTGTTTCTTCAAATTGGTCTTAGTCATCTTAGTCGCCTCTTACGACAAGCATGGTTTGCTGAAGACCAATTCTAACCCGGAGTGAATCAAATCTATTGCTGTTATCGGAGTTAAACATTAGGTCACAATTTACTGTAAAATATATGATACAAAAACAAACCATTACATAATTATTTCCGATCAGTCTATAATGATAAGGGGGAAAGACGAATACAGAGGCATCCGTTAGAAAAGTACTCAAATATGTTTGAAACTCGATTGTAGGGTATGTTGTGCTTGCTTTGAACTTTTAAGAGATCGCCATCTGCCTTCGCAATGTCGACTGACATAAATTGTTTCGGAATCATGTGAGTAGTAAGTAAGTATGGTTTTACGTCGGCTTTAACAATATTCCAGCAATATCACACTGGGGGACACCAGAAACGGGCTTCACACATTTTACCCATAGGGGGAATCGAACCCGGGTCTTCGACGTGACGAGCGAACGCTTTAACCACTTGGCTACCTTACCACCCATTTGTGTCCTTAGCTTGAGTAGACATATCTATTTGGATTTTTAGTACAGAGGTGTATCTGGTTCGTCGTCCTTTCATGCACAGAGCGACACTCCTACTGATTCAGCGAGAGCTATATATAGCCTGTATGATGTGTCAACAATTTAGGTTCTTTTACGACGTCAATGAGGACGGCGGGGGAGAAGAATCTAGAATATTTACATTTACTATTTGAGCTTGAATTGGACGGGACGGTGTTACGTTAGGTCTCTCTTGAATGACGACATAAGGTATGGTCTTTGATGTGGCAAGGCAATCGCATTGTTCTGAAAGTTCCATTGTTACTATTGTCAAGGAACATTTATCCGTGGGAACCGCCATTATTCATTGTTTTTCAACCAGATTTATACGATTGATTTTAGACATTCATTCACAAAATTCATTATTTTGTTATTTTCTTTTGACGTTCGGCAGAACTTTACATTCACACAATTTGGTTTCCGTGTGCATTATAGGTTATATGTTGACTGTGTCGTGGGATTTCGTTTGGAGCCGAGACAATATGTGATGTGATGTGAAGAATTAATTACCGTTCTGAAACCTTTCAAGGTGTATCCCCATCACCGTATTCTGGGTGATGGCTGAAGGTGAAGTCAACGTGATTTTTAACATATTTCCCATATGACCGCCTCTGTGGTGTAGTGGTTAGAGCGTCCGCCCGGAGAGCGGAAGGTCGCGGGTTCGATCCCCAACTGCGTCATACCAAAAAGACGTTTAAATATGGTACTTGTTGGTCCCTGCCTGGCGTTAATGGGTACAACAAGGACAGGTCGGCTCGGAATCAGTATAATGTGTCTGAGTGGGGTATTCGAGCTTCACTGCGGCATGGTATCTCAGTGGGATAGCACTATAAAACTAGTTTCAGTCTGGGCTAGTACAAGCAGCAGCACAAACACATACATACGCATGCACGTCGTCATATGAAACATTCTCAAGCACGACGTTAAACCCAATTTCACCTCTCCTCACATATTTCCCATGACTCGTTTATCTGACCGAAATCACCAAGACCTGTTATTAAAACACAGGTTATTTCGGTTACTTACTCATAGACCGGCGACTCATGAGAGGTATAGCCTTTGTACCTATTATCACTCGAGTGCCAAAGCTGGGTCACCGTATATGCAGTGACTGTCACTACAAGGTAAATATAGCTCAATCATGCTGACACATTCACATGACTATGATGTTAGTAATCTACGAAGAAATCATTCGTAGCTGCTTTTTGGTATTCCGTATGACATCGGCTGCAGTAAAACCTCGGTATACCGGATCCCGGTAAATCGGGACACGATCTCCCGGTCGACTCCACGCACACACACACACGCGCGCGCACTTGGACATCACTAATTATTCGTGAATCATTATTCCGCAAATGTGGTAAACCTGTCTAGGAACGAAAATATCTCAGCCATTCTACTGATTCTGGATCCGGTGGTAATAACGTGTAATGCAGGAACCTGTTTAAGTAAACGACTCCAGTTTAATGAGGTTTCACTATCTATAGATAAACCGCGCGCCTGTGAAAAGGTCCCTTCGCCATTCTGTTCCTGGCGTTGGGAGTTACTCATATGCATAATATCAACCATTGGTTAAACTTGGTTATTCACTGACACACGCGTAGCTGAAGTAGTTAAAATATTACTGACTGAGTTAGGTTTACGCCGCTTTTAGCAATATTCCAGCAACATCACAGCAGGGGACACCAGAAATCGGCTTCACACATTGTACCCATGTGGGGGATTCGAACCTGGGTCTTCGGCGTGTGAAACATTACTGACTGCGGATTAAGAGAACAAACAAAACTAAACAAAGACACCCATGTATGTTATTAATATTTTGAAATATTTTGTTTCCTATGTGTATATCATATTTTATTTTCTACATATTGTCCCACAATGTTAACCTCAATTTAGGCATGACAAGCTAAGGAATATTGACGTCAGAATATGTTTACGACAGGTTACATTCCGATTATAGTGACTCACCACTGCACGTCAGTCCAAGTGAGGAAGAAAAGTTAAAGGAAGATTCCGACTTGCAAACCATTCATAACAGTACACCGTAACGACAATGCGCCACTGACACCGGGCCACCTAAGTTGATATATGATAGCTGTTCATTCAACGTATAGACGGATACACTGAAGACTATCTGCTTTCAGGTCTTGAGGAGATGAGCTCACTGCACAAACACAAAAGACGGATCATGAAGCCGTTTAGTGTCAGCTATCTACTACGCCCTTATGTGTTAGTTTTGCTGTTTCATGTATGGAACAATGTTATCTTTTGTAATGTAAGTATTTGCTAACGCCCATGAGAGATGTCAGAGATTGAGTATGGTTTTATGCCGCTTTTCGCAATATACCAGCAATATGACGGCGGGGGACACCCGAAATGGGCTTCACACAATGTACCCATGTGGAATCGAATACGGATATTCAGTATAACGAGCGGACGCTTTAACATGTGACGTCAGTGTCTTGTATTTTTTAAAAATCTATTAATTAGTTATTAATTATCAACTTGTATAGACATTTCCTTCTTCTCAACTGACGTAAAAATTCATGCACAAAAGTCTATTTGTGGACGAGTCATAAATGTTTGAAAATACAACATTTTCGCAACTGATTTCTGGCCTATGCGTTTAGTTTTTTGTACAGTATATATACAGGCAAAAGTATTAAAGTATCTTATTCCGACCATTTATAAGTTCAGTTTTGCATTAGGACTCAATTGTGTTAATTGGTCCTCGACGAAGAATTGTTTTCTTCTACAGTAATGTAATATGTATTTATGCATATATTCATTTCGAATTTATTTATTTATTTATTTATTTATTTATTTATTTATTTATTTATTTATTTATTTATTTATTTATTTATTTATTTATTTATTTATTTATTTATTTATTTATTTCAAAATACTGTATATTAGCCGTATTAGTGTGATGGCAAGGCGACCAGACATTTTTTGAAAGTCATCGCATTTGTACTTTACTGATATAACACCCTGATATAACAGGCAATAGAGGACCAGCATCACGAGGTCTCATATCTCCATGGTGGAACCGTGTGCTTCACATGTCCCCCAGGAACATTCAGATACAGACACTGCTCAAGGAACTTCACATCCTCCGACTGTCGACCGTGTCCGCCTCAAACCTTCCAGTCCCACCACACACAGGCTCGACGGTGCCAAAACTGTCTTCAAGAATGTCTACACGACACCAACATGGTGGCTGTGAAAGCCTGCAGCAGGACAGCTGACCTGACTTGCAAGTGTAGAGATGGGTATTACCTGCACAATGATGGATTCACTCACACATGCAAGAAGCACACACCCTGTGATAGGGATCAGTACACTTTACAAAATGGTAAGTTAAAGGATGTAATAGTGTCTCAGTTGTGTCCGCAAAGATAACTCGTGTCCAATGCGATACACCTCTTTTCCCAGAGGTGTCCAGTGGGATAAACCTCTTTTCCCAGAGGTGTCCAGTGGGAAAAAATATTCTCCCATAGTTGTCCAATGGGATAAAACTCTTTTCCCAGAGGTGTCCAGTGGAATTAAACTCCTTTCTCAGAGGTGTCCAATGGGAAAAAAATATTCTCCCAGAGGTGTCCAATCGGTCAACACATTCCCAGAGGTGTCCAATGGAATGAAACTCTTTTCCCAAAGTGTCCAGTGGAATAAAACTCTTTCCCAGAGGTGTCCAATAAAGTAAAACTCTTTTCCCAGAGGTGTCCAATGGGATAAAACTCTTTTCCCAGAGGTGTCCAATGGGAGAAAAAAAATCTCCCAGAGGTGTTCAATCGGTCAACACATTCCCAGAGGTGTCCAATGGAATAAAACTCTTCTGCCAAGGTGTCCAATGGCATAAACTCTTTTCCCATAGGTGTCCAATAGAGTAAAACTCTTTTCCCATAGGTGTCCAATGGGATAAAACTCTTTTCCCATAGGTGTCCAATGGGATAAAACTTTTTTCCAGGCTGTGTCCAATAGGGTACAAACATATTTCTCAATGGTGTACAATATAATAAAACTTTTTCTCAACGATCTTAAGTAAGGACAAATCCTTTTCTCAACGGTTGCCAATAAAATATTATTCACAAACCTCTTACTTCGCAATCTTATTTGCAGGCACAGCCACGTCGGACTTCGTCTGCTCCATGTGCCCAGAGAATCAGTTCTACAAAGGTCAAGGACAGTGTGTGTCGTGTACATCCTGTGAATCTATGAACAAGACACAACTGACGCCATGTAGTTCTGATGAGGATGCAACATGTCACGAAACACAGAGTAAGTACTGTTAATCCACTAGGCTTTGATGCGTCCTTTCTTTCAACACATCAGTAGTCTGAGTAATGAAACTCCGTGAACATTGCAACTTTTGTTTTGTGTTTTGTTTAACACCGATTTCAGCAACAGTCCAGCTATATGATGCCAGTATGTAAATACTCTAGTCAGGACAAGACAATCCAGTGATCAACATCATGAGCATCGATACGATGACAGCTAAGTCAGCTAGCCTGACCACACGATCCAATTAGTCTCAAGCATGGGTTGCTGAAGACCAATTCTAACCGGGATCTTCACGGATCTAACATTGCAACTATGCGACATCATCGGTAACGTCTTCAGTATACGGCATCAGTGCGACATCCGTGTTGGTGTGTTTCACCAAAGTGGTAAACATCAGTGACATGCATCATATGTTGCCCCTTCCACGTGTAGTCGACACACAGTGCTATACCTGAAATACTGTTCCCAACAAACCTAACACCATCACTCGTCTTGCTGAATTCAGATGGGGAATTGAGTGAGTGAGTATAGTTTTACACCGCTTTTAGCAATATTTGAACTGATGCAGGAACACCAGCGGGGATCTTATTCCATTTTCCTTTTGGTTTGGTGAACTGATGACACGAGATATAGCTGAGCCGGAATATCAGAGAATATATTCATTCCACATCTACTATTCCTTTTACTTTATAAGCTACCCCGGGGAGGTTGGGTAGCCTAGTAGTTAAAGCCTGGTTCGATGTCCCATAGGTGTGTAATGTGTGAGGCCCATTGCAGTGCCCCGTGATTTTGCTGGAATATTGCTAAAAGCGGCGTGGATTCAGATTCACTTACTATAAGCTATCATTTCATCTTCCTTCCAGGCACGTCAGTGACAGAGATGACAGCACACAATCCAAGCGAAAGTAACAACACTCCTTTCATCATTGCTGGAATATTGGGAGTCGCCATTGTGGTTGTTGTGGCAGCGTTGGCTCTTATATTTCACTACAAGAGAAGGGAGCACACCATCACTTTGCCGCTCAATGTAGAAAGGTAGACACCAATACAGATATTATGAAGCAGCCACTAAGGTCATATGAAAGGTTTAACAAAAAATACCCCCCAAATCCATCTTTTCTAACTTTATTAAATGGTATCTGTTAGAAGTCGATTAGATTAATTATTAATTCATGATTATTGTAATTAGTTTTTCTTGTTATTGTTTCAGTCCCGACCCTGGAAAGCCGGATGCCACATCTTTACCACTTCTTGCTCAACGACAAGTGTCTTCCTCCTCGTCCACATATCATCCTGCAGAGTTCCCGGAACTTGCGGGTATGCACTCTATCATCATTTATCTGGGCACACAAACCTGTCATAGGTGCAGGAGCATTCGTGGCCTAGTTGTCCAAGTCGTCAAATTCCTCTGCAGAGTTGTGTCCCTTGAACATGTCAGAAAATGGGAATGAGCATCCGAATCTCACGTTCGCCCTGATTATGTTTCCAATGCTTGTGGGTCTTAAACTAGCCCTACACGTCTGAGACATGCGCCTTTATTCACACAAGGTGACACGCCGTGGTATTTTATACATGCGTCTGTGTGTCTAAGGGTCATGCGGTATGACTTTTGTTTCCATTTTTTGTTGTGATATGATAAATCACTGTAAATTATTGGCCTGTCGGTTTTGTCATCGGCCGTGACCTTTCAACTTTTCCAATTGTCATTCACTCAACTTCATATACGTTGAGCATCAAGAACCTTAATCACTAATTTCTATTTTCACACATGGCGACACCCATTACAAAGTGATGTGTAGCAGCAGCACTGTTTATACACTGTAGATAATGTAACTTGTAACATGCAAATGTTGATACAAAATCTAAGATGTAATACTAAATTGACACCTGGCCATTCGTCGTTCCTTTCACTCATTGCAGATCCGACTACATGGACAATGGAAGTATTTCTGATATTATCCCGAAGGCTCACACAAAACTGGAAAGCGTTTATGCGGAATCTACCAGGTACATGAATCGGATGGATGGAATGTTTGTTTTGCTTCAGCATACATAAAATGATGTCCAACGAAGTTTTTTTTAAACATAACCTTAAAGCAGATGAATTCTGAGCGAAACTAAACAATCACGCCCATGGACCACTGTTCGCCCATGGGCGAGCGAGTTATTAGTTTTCGAAAGAAACATTTTTCATTTTTTCATCCTGAGCATATATTCATAACAACTGCATGTTTAATTTTAACAAATCCCTTGTCAGAAAGTGGCCACAATGCGGAGAGTTTCTGGACTTTTATGAGTCCAGAATTAAATTGTGACGTGTTAGAAGTATTTTCCATGCAAGTGTTTTCATAAGCGAAATATATTTTGAAAAAGACTACACAAACATGCACCCTCAAATACGAACTATTGTGATCTGTAATATAATTAACACCCATATAATGGTTTCAGGCGATGCTACCTACAATGCTGAGGTTCACTACAAGTGTGAACAAGTAGAACTGGATGTTCAAGGGATTCCTGAGCGGGTGTATCAAATGTTACAGTGGTGGTCAGTATCCCAGTCTGGGCCTGACGTTTCAGTGGACAATATACTCTACACACTTCATAAAATCGGCGGCTGTGAAGATGTACAAAAAGAAATCAGACGTCACTGTTCAAAACTAACAAGAAGAAAAGCAAAGAATAATTCAAGCGCTAACGATAATAATGACGCCTTAGCAGAAAGTGGTAGACTAATGACGTCATAGCAGAGTTGGTCGAAACAATGACGTCATTGCTGCCAGCAGGACTCTAATTGCGTTACAGCAGAGAATGAATGGACAACAATGACGCCATAGCAGAAGTTAGGACACGTATGACATCACAGCTGAAAATGAGTGGCCAACGATGACGTCATAACAAAGTGGGACACTAATGACGTCATAGCTGGTGTGGGTGGACGACAATTGACAATTAAGTTTTAGTCGAACTTTCTAACAACACCTGTTCGTCTGCTAATAACACGACATAAATATATTGACTTTTGGAGATACTCATTTGAGATTTTCCACACTGTGAGTAGCCATGTGTATATCAATGGTTCGTAGTATTTGAGGGCAGAATATTAAAAAAAATTAAGACAAACTCTGTTGACATTTCGATTTCAAGACAAATCGACAGTCACATGACTGACACGCATTATGACAGGCGTGTGTTTATTTTATGCTTGACTGATTTCGAAGTACGAACAGTACATAATAAATGACAAACAATCTGCCTGGGTTGTTGGTTGTTTTTTTTGCTGTTCCTTTGGTTTGTTTTGTTTATTTGTTTTTTAACGCCGCTTTCAGCAATATTCCAGCTATATGGCGGCAATGTCTAAAAACTCGAATGTGGACCAGACAATCAAGTTAACTACAGCATGAGCATCAATATACCCAATTGGAATATGATGACGTGTGTCAACCAAGTCAGCGAGCCAGTCCACCCGATCCCGTTGGGCATAAAGGAAGATTGCAGCTAAACTATTAAAAACCAATAAACAAAAATACGTACATTCATGACACACAGAATTTGACGTCACATTTAGAAATACAGTGTTTACATCTAAATATAAAGCTGACATCGCAATGTGATGACGTCATGATACATGCACGACGTCATAGCCTTCCACGATCACCTGTACTGGAGATTCACAATTTTTTCGTATTCACCGAAATTCTGTACTTCTTGGACTAAATATCAGTCACATCGTACTCGGGATAAAATACACCAAAAACTAATGTACTGTTTGTCAGAGTAGAAACCTGTTGATCAGTGGAAAACATATAATATTTAAAAAAACAAAACATTTGAATTGTCTAATAACATATTCATTTCATCTTTGTTTGCGAAGATATCAATTTTGTCAGAACAGAGATGAGCTCATCCAAATCGAAAAATTACAAATACTTGTATACGAATATATATATATATACTTGTATACGAATATATATATATATATATATATATCACACGCACGCGCGCACGCACACACACACATGTTGCTAAATTTATTGCAATGATTATGTCTTATTTTCGAAAAGGATTAATAATACACGCAACGATTTAACAAATGACTCATTTAAAGAAAACGTGAATAAATTGGAACGTCTTGCGCCGTATTTATTCCAGAATACTGCCAGGCTTCATTTAAAGTTTATTCATGTCATGGTCACCCCTGACGACCAATCATACAATTCTCAAAATTTTACTGAAACAAAAATTTTGACAATTTCCACTAATTAACCGCCTTATTAATCACAGAATATATCTTGGACTTCAGAAGGTGATAGATAAATTGCACAGTATCTTGTTCAATCTCAGATAAATGCAACTGTCTGAATTAATATCAGGTTACTCAAAAAGTGCATTGCGAAATTGTAAAACAGCCGAGCCGTACGAGTCACGCATGCTCTGAAATCATTGCCCATTTTACTTACTGTCACGTAAGCAACGGGTCTGTTCACTCACGCCACCCGCAGGAAAATAGAGATGACGCAAGGAAGATGATCCCGTAACAACAGTTTGTTACTGTTTGTTTCAAAGTAAGTTAATATGTAAACTATTGACAAATCTACTTAAAATCGGCATTATTCGAAGATCATTGTTCAACATCAAAAGTTCAACACGCACGGCGGGTCCCCTAACCACTAGTCATTTATTTGCGGTACGCAGTTCGCATGTCTATAGTTTCAATACAAATAGTTGTGCGGGTAGCATTATCCCACCGGCAAGCTTCAGAAGGTGAGGATACCATTGATGTACTCTACTAAATGAACTGCAATTTTGCAACTATATGTTATTATATGTTACCAGGTGAACAATACTGTATTACCAAGTTGTTTCACTGTAATGTAGATGACCTTTCAATCTAGCGATGGCGTACATATATAATATCACCGCTTGCTCACACGCTTCGCAGGTGTATAAGCGTGTAGTGTGAACTGTCGGTCACCGACTAACGGGTATGTGAGAGAACGGTATTGCGGCAACAGTACGGACAGTTCAACATCGTTTACAAAATCCAGGATAGTGTTGAATTCTGTATACAATCAGCATAGTTAAATCAGTATGTATGAACGTGACCCACTTTGGTTGTGAAAACCCCGGTGTATATCAGCTACCGGCAAATGAATAACAAGTGAAGACATGTTGTGTAAGTATTGTACGGGCGCGGCAGTCAAACACTTTCGACCATTAATGCTAGCAGACGCGCCTAGGTAAGATTTTATGTTCGTTTCTAATCGCTATTCCGATGAATACTATATAGGTGGAATTCTGTACCAGGCGTCGTCGTGTTTATTAATTCGTTTTCCAAACCTCGGAACTGAAATTGACAACCGTAGAACTAAATGGTAATATAAACAGACCGTTATTCTTCTTGAAGTGTCTTTTAAAAGTGTTTTGTCACGAATGAAAAACATGAGCAAGGAAATAGGCCTGTTGATATGTATATTTATACATTATTACATTCATATTTTATTTATTTAAACCCACCTAATCACAATTAAGGTATCAGTTCTGCGAAATGTCTACTTTTCAGTTATATCAGATATAATTTGAACAATTGCCTATATTTGTCAATCGGTATGTTAAGTTGATTTTGTTGGCACGGGACAAATAATTGTATCCATTACACATACGATATATATATTACATTATGAATTCTTATACGTAATTACCTTCTTCACATTAAAAACCTAATGGTACAAAAAAATAAAATGATAAACCATTCTGCCACATCATGTTTGAAGAGATCTATATATATTGAATGCGTAATCACAGTCTGTACGTGTCCTTGGGCAGAGCTCCACTAGATAGCATTTAGCTCATGTGGGTACTGTACCCACTATTTTTTTGGAGTGGGTATTTTGAATGTTGAGTGGGTATTTCATTTTCCGTTACCCACTGCTTTCAAATATGTGCGTATTTCAGTCATGTTACTCACCTAAGTATTATGTGACTGAGTAAGTTTACTAAGCAGGTGTGTTCTGCCTTATGTCATACTTAATCAAAACCAACTTAAATACTGTATAATGGAAATGATTTCATAAAAAATCACTCATCCTATACTGACAGTACAACACTTGTCCTATACTAACAGTACAGCTTGATAGCAATCGATGTCTTTTTCATTACGCAAGCGATTTTTATAAATATATTCCGTACGCATTTGTTTTAAACTTTTTGCGTATCTAACATTTTTAATGCGTAATTGGTACGAAACAATTATTTTTCAATTCGTAATTGGAAATTTATATGCGTATTTTACCCGGATACGCAGCTTATCTGGGCCTCTGATCGGGTATCAGATAACCGATTTGTTATCATCGATCATACACAGAAGATTGTGACTTGAGGGTGAGATAATACACAAGGTAAGGGATTCTGGAGTTTCAGTTGTCAGTCACTTATGCTATTAATCTAGAATGATTCAATACTAGTGATTTGTCTGTGTCATTGGTCTTTAAAAAAACTAGCGTTAATGCTATCTGTATCATTTCATGTGTATTTACCTCCATGTTACAATTCTGTGGTGCAGAAAAAGTAAATTAAAAAATATTATTCAAATGCCCTTGATACAAAAGACAACTACCTATTATTCAGTTTTTAATGGTATTTGTAAATACCTTTTTATAAATTGATTGTCATCTGCATTAAGACATAAAATTAAAATATACTGATTTACAGAGCTGATTTCTTCAAATGCATGGGGAAACGGTTTATTTAGAGAATCCGAATTATGAATAATATCTTTATGTTTTATCGTGTCCGTAAATTGATACCGGAGGTACGTTAAAGAACATGAATCTTCGAAAACCATCACCACGCATTAGTACCGACAGTCACGCTGTTTAACGCCAAACACATTACTATCAGTGATTGTACATCTTATCGTATTAACTATGACAAAACGAGAACAATCACCCTGTTAAACACAAAGCACATGACTGTCAGTGATTGTACATCTTATCGTATTAACTATGACAAAACGAGAACAATCTCCCTGTTTAACACAAAATACATGACTATCAGTGATTGTACACCTTATCGTATTAACTATGACAAAACGAGAACAGTCACCCTGTTTAACACAAAATACGTGACTATCAGTGATTGTACATCTTATCGTATTAACTATGACAAAACGAGAACAGTCACCCTGTTAAACACAAAATACATGACTATCAGTGATTGTACATCTTATCGTATTAACTATGACAAAACGAGAACAGTCACCCTGTTTTACACAAAATACATGACTGTCAGTGATTGTACATCTTATCGTATTAACTATGACAAAACGAGAACAATCACCCTGTTTAACACAAAATACATGACTGTCAGTGATTGTACATCTTATCGTATTAACTATGACAAAACGAGAACAGTCACCCTGTTTAACACAAAATACATGACTATCAGTGATTGTACATCTTATCGTATTAACTATGACAAAACGAGAACAGTCACCCTGTTTAACACAAAATACATGACTGTGAGTGATTGTAGATCCTACTGTATTAACTATGACATCACGAGAACTAGCACCATATTTTAGGCATCATAACAATAGCTATCAATATAAGTGCTTGCTCTTCTTAACGTGTTGCAGGTTTTGTTTCAGAGAACAATACTCACACAAATAAAAGACCCCCAAACACTCATCAAGACAGATTCGAAACGACATAAAGGCACATGAAGACAAACACGAAATTCACGAACACAAACAACGGTTCGATACACAAAAAGACACACACAGCTAAAAACACACCCAAGGCACATATACACGTACCCACAGAAACGTTGAAGATCCGGCTTAGAATTTGTCTTCAGCAACATATGCTTGTCGTAAGAGGCGACTGACGGGATCGGGTGGTCAGACTTGCTGGCATGGCTGACACATGTCATCGTATCCCAATTGCCTAGATCGACGCTCATGCTGTTGATCATTGGATTGTCTGGTCCAGATGTCCTTTTATCAACAGCCTGAAGTATACAAACTAAATTTTGGGGCGGTTGAGTAGCCTAGTTGTTAAAGCGTTCGATCGACCCGGGATCGATTCCCCACTGTGGCACAGTGTGTGAAGCCCATTTCTGGTGTCCCCTCGCCGTGATATTGCTGGAATATTGCTGGAATATTGCTAAAAGCGGCGTAAAACTAAACTCACTCATTCACTCACAAACTCTATTTCAGAATAAATATTTGCTGATGTGTGATGATCCCAGATTAACAACGACGGCAGTCAGATATACAGAGCACCCCACATCCCAGCAGTCAGAGCAGGGCACAGCACTAACGTTGATGCTGTGCCCTGTCTCTGGCTTCGTCATAGTCTGTGTAATTTGCACGATTGTGCTGGCGCAGATCCAACCCACCTCGGCTATTGTGAGTACTGACAACGCTAATTTCCTATTTGCAAAATGACAAATATATATAAAACTCAAATATAAGGATGCAAGAAGATCCACCCCTTCTAATGAGTGTTATTGTCACAGAGGATTATAACTTGTTTCGTTTATTCACAATGTGGCTACCCGTGAAGATCCGGGTTAGAATTGGTCTTCAGCAACCCATGCTAGTTGTAAGAGGCGACTACGGGATCGGGTGGTCAGGCTCACTGACTTGGTTGACAAATGACATCGTATCCCAATTGCGTAGAACGATGCTCATGTTGTTAATCACTGGATTGTCTGATCCAGACTCGACTATTTACAGACCGCGGCCTTATAGCTAGAATATTGCTGAGTGCGGCGTAAAACAACAATCCAGTCAGGCAACGTGTCTGCCTGAATGTGAATTTAGACGACTCTTGGCATGCTTGAACGGTTTCCTGTTGAGCCTTCATTTAAAACTACTCGTATACATAATACATCGAATATCATTTACTGGGAAAAACCTCTATGAAAAACCGTGGGCCTGTTATAGGAACAGCTTGGCGAATTGTTAACCACCTCGTAACCTCGGGTTACAACTAGGGTTTCAACGATTTGGTTAGATTCATTGAAAATCGAATCTTAACTCTTTCGATTCGGTACTTGAATACCTATTTAAATTATTTCCACACGTCCCGAACGAAATTTTGACTCCCAACTCCAGCCTGGTTCCTGGGTCCGTTACGCCTGCGGTACGCTCCGACACTGAGCGTAGCGCAGGCGTAACGGACCCAGGGAACCAGGCTGTCCCAACTCTGGCAGTTTCGAGCGCTGAAATATGGCGAAACGTGATTGGTTGACGTCGGATAAATTATCCAATGTTGCACCGGCTTGGTCCGTGCATATGCATGGTAAACGATGGACAATTTGAAAAACATTGCCCATCTCAATCAGCCGTCGGACAAGTTTGTAAAATGCATCTACAATAATGTTTTACGCTTCTGAATAGCTTGTACATTACAACAAATTATTAAAAACAATACATTACAGCCTGTTCCCGATGACGAACGTGACGACCATCTGACAACGTATCTACACAATGGACATACCTGTTTCAAGTGTGAGCCAGGAACCCATCTTCTTCGCCACTGCACAAGTAACTTCAACTTGTCGGTGTGCGTACCCTGCACACCCGGTCACTTCCAGACCCACTACACCCGGGCCAAGAGATGTGAGCCCTGCCACACCCACTGTCTCCATGACGACAATATGATTGGAGTCAAGGCGTGCTCGGCTACTGAAGATCTGGTCTGTAAGTGCAGGGAAGGGTTCTATGAACATGAGATTGGACATGGAATAATTCGCACCTGTTTTCCGTACACGCCTTGTGAGCCGGGTCAAATAGTTGTTAAGAAAGGTTTGTATAATTTAATTTATATTTGAGTAAAATTAATGTGAAACACGAAAGTGATCATTTTCATTTTTATAAATAGTAAAATATTTTGATTTCTAATTTTGTTTCATATTTACAAACTTTCATCAACTTACTCCTTTGTTTTTCGGTACAATTTATATTCATTCAATGTTAAACATCATAAAAACATGTTTTCGCAACTAACAATATTGTCGGTGCTGTGTCGTCACACCGAAGAAATTGTAATCATATTCATACAGTAACAGGGGCGGTGGGGAAGCCTCGTGCGTAAAGCGTTCGCTCGTCACGCCGAAGACCCGGGTTCGATTCCCCACAGGGGTACAATGTGTGAAGCCTATTTCTGGTGTCCCCCCGCCGTGATATTGCTGGAATGTTGCTACAAGCGGCGTAAAACCCAACTCACTCACGAACTCACTTTAAGAAAGGGTCTATGGAAATGAAAAGTCACGTTCGGACATATGAACAAGAATAATGTTGATAAAACCAGGTATCCGTAATTGTCAATATATTCAGAATTATGACGTAACACTAAGTGCGCTATTACATATCGTCCAGGAACGGACTTCATTGACCAGGAGTGCGGCTTCTGTGAACCTGGACTCTTTGCCAAGGGAGATAACTGTGTACCGTGTAGCTCATGCAGTGGCAATACCACAGTTCTGCAGCCTTGTGACGTCACAGCTGATACGGTGTGCTCGAAAGTTCAACAAGTGAACGGTACGTGTTATACATATTCGATTGGTGGTTAAAGTATCTTGAAGGCCTTCTCCGGCAGACTTAGAATCCCAGTGAAGAAAAGAGCTCATACAGGTACCAGCGATACCTTCATGATATTGCCGGAATCATACCGGAAACTACTAAACTTGCTCTCACTGACGTTTTGGTCTCCTCTTACGACAAGCATGGGTTGCCGAATTGATCTAACCGGATCGGGTGGTCTGGCTTGCTGACTTGGTTGACACATGTCATCTGTTCCCAAATTGCGCAGATCGATGCTCATGTTGTTGATCACTGGATTGTCTGGTCCAGACTCGATTATTTACAGACCGCCGCCATATAGCTGGAATATTGCTGAGTGCGGCGTAAAACTAAAGTCACTCACTCACTCCCAACTTGTTACCCATGTCTTTCTTTACAGTGAACCGAACAGTGAATTTAAAGACTATTTGCTCTGTTTAGACACCGGCGTTGAGGTACCTGATGAAGTTGAAAACGACACGGACACTGTAAAACTGGTTAGCATTGCGGCTGGCATCTTTGGGTGTGGCGGTTCCATCATTCTCATCGTTGTCATCATCTTCAAACGAAAACGCCCTCCACAAAATGATGATTCTATTATACAGACCGACAAGAGGTAAATCACATTCATCAACATGCCTTCATGCTACTGAAGAGAGTTTTGTGGATCCCAACTTCTTAATTATGAGGAACAAACCCCCTTCGGAGTAAATACTTACTCATTCATGTTGCTACAAGCTGCATAAAATCACTTCCAGTCACTTCGAAAACCACGGCGCCAGACTGTTTTCATAGAAAGGTTTTTAGGTATAGTCTGTTTGCAGTGGAAACGTACCGATGAATTTCACTTTAAACAAAAAAGTAATTCAAATAAAGTGAAATTAAGATTGGAAATCCTCATAACTTTACCTTGCCAATTGAACTTTTAAATCTCAGAATTTTTTTCAACTTAGGATAAAACGATCATAGTTTCAAATCGCTATTATTGGTGTGTATTACAAGGGGGTATGCACATTAAATGAAACCCCGAAAACAAGAAGGGTTGGTTTACGGTAGTCACTCATTACGCACCGCACGTGCATTTGTTTCACTGTTCCAACTACTGCGCGTAGCCCCTTGTAATGCAAACCAATAATAGCGATGTGAAACTATAATTGTGTGTTAAACAACTTTTATCCTAAGTTGAATAAAATTTTTAGATTTAAAAGTTCAATTGGCAAGGTAAAATTATGAGGATTCGCAATCTAAATTTCACTTTATTTGATTTACCTTTTTGTTTAAAGTGAAATTCATCGGTACGTTTTCACTGCAAACAGACTGCAGTATAGCTTTAGATTCCTGATCATTGATCTATATTGTTTGAGTAAACCTATCCGTGACCAAGTTGATAACAGTGTCACGTGTCCTTCTCACAATGGAACCCCGTACACTCATTGTTCACTCATTGTTTTGTGGGGCAAGGTCTTCTACGTTGCTTGAAAGGGCATTGACATATGTGGGGCTCTACTGAACTGGATAGAGCTGAAGACATGGCCGTGATAGCGAAAACGAAACAAACCAAAAAAATATTTATTGGAATGAGTGAGTTTAGTAAAACGCAACTTTTAGCAATATTCCAGCAATATCACTGCGGGGGACACCGGAAATGGGCTTCACACATTGTACCCATGTATGGAATCGAACCCAGGTCTTCGGGGTGACGAGCGAACGCTTTTACAACTAGCCTACCCCATTGCCCCTCAGGATGGTTAAAAAATACGAGAACAGTTATAAGAAGGCGTGACCGATTAATGTGGGAGTGAAGCGAGGAAAGTGGTACAGGTTTAGGACTTTTGTTAGCATTTCGAGGATTAAGCGCCCGGAATACCGAGTTACCGGATTAACGAGGTCCAGAGAACCGTGTTTTCACTGAGTGAGTGAGGAAGGTCTTACACCGCTTGAAGTAACATTCCCGCAATAGTACGACAGGGGACACCAAAAACGGGCTTCACACATTGTACCCATGTGGGGAATCGAACCCGGGGTCTTCGTTCGATGGAAATGCATGTGATACGTGTATCAATGTTCTCTTTGCAGTGTTGCGGTTACTGTTTTCAGCCCATCATTGTTTTGATAATTATTAACATAAACTTATTCTTATTATGAAATTAATTTTTCGAGTGTATGTTCCGCTGTGCCAGGCAGTGCTGCGTTATTAACTATACAGTCTACCACAGATATCACGACCTGGGATAGACAATACTTTGTCTACACCGAACCTATTTCGAGTTCTTCATGCGAATAGTAAACATTTGAGTCCATAAACACGTCATGACCAGTTAACCGACCGAAAGAAAAATCATTGGCCGCAAATTGCAAAATAGAATATTATGTCAGTGAGTCATTGAAAATAGGTTATGGCAAGTGTTCATGCAAAGGGGATTTAGTTGTTCTGCCCCACCGCTGGTATACATCTCTAACTATTTGTATACACGCCTGGAGACATCTCAATTACCCTGCTTTTTGTTTGCTCACAGTAACGTGCCACTGCTTGTGGTAAGGCCACCAGCGACTGCAACGTCCACTACCACGCCACCAGCGACTGCAACGTCCACTACCACGCCATCAGCGACTGCAACGTCCACTACGGCGTCGCCAGTGACGGCCGACGACGTGAGGAAGGCGTCAGTGAAGCGACAGCGGTCAAGGACACTGAGCGACAGCAGCGTTGTGAGCGCCAGCACCCAGATCTACTTTTCCTCACTTCAAGGTAATACACTAGACTAATGCTTAGTCTCTGAATATATATAATTTTGATAGTAACAAACAAGCCCATTTAAATTGAAAAGGAGCCCCAGGAAGACCAGAGATTCATCTGAACCTGAGGAAATCTAGACTTGCTTTATTTAGGGCTTTAGCAGTGTAGAGAGGGCTTGGCAGTGGGGAAAATAATGTGGTTCAGGGACTGTGAGACAGACTAGGTAATACACCTGTGATCTGGACGCCGTTCAAGCCCATATACTGACACTAGTTATCTTGATCTACGACGCAGTTATCAACCGTTGGCGTGACAGAATGAAATAATCGAACCCTCCATGCCTGTGTATTTCAGCGAAGTGGTGAGAGAGCAAACCTGATTCACCTCGGAGTTCTCTTTTATCATTTCGGGTCATAGTACCTAACAGCTGGTTTTAGTTACAAGTAGAAGCTAAAATGTGAACTTCTTAATGTCAACAATGACAATACAGTTGTGAGCCGTATGGCGAATTACAAAAGCTGATGATAATGTTCAGTATTGTAATTTAGTTTAGAACAAATAAATAAATAATAAAATTTTTTTTTTTAATTTTGTGTTCTGTATTACACCAGTGAAATAAAAGTGAATACATATCCGTAATCTTTAGCCCATCATCCCTGGGACAATAAGCTTTCCTGTTGAGGCAACCTTTGCTCTGTTATAAATTTACAATTGTGTGTACTTAACGGTCTATTTCCAATAATTGCAGACCCCGATACATGGACCAGACAAATCTTCCCAATTCTGCAGAATCATCTAACGGGAAACTGGAAAATGTTTATGCGAAACTTACCAGGTAATTAAAGAACATCATCAATTTGCGCGTTGCGTCTACTTTGTACATGTACATAAAAACTTAATTCATCTCTTAATGTTGGATATGAAAAACGTTCATCTTTGTTAATATTGGTTATGTGCCGCTCAGGTGACGAGGACTATGTATCTAGTATCGACGCTCGCTGTGAACAGATTTGTGATGACGTCAGGAACGACGTGCGGGAACAGATCTATACAGCTCTCAGGGAGTGGAAACAAGCTCACGACTGGCCCATCATGTCGGTGGAGAGCATTCTGTGCTCCTTGCAATTCATTGATGGATGCGAGATAATGCGGGAGAAAATATCCAAGAAGGCAACGAAGCTGGACGAAAAACAATCGGAACAAACCCAGAACGGGTAGATATTTATGCATGACAAGCTCTTTAACGAACCCGTTTTATCGGGAAACCGCATCTTCCGGATCATGACAATTTAACTTATGAATGCTAAATGATATTATTTCATCTGCGTAACGATGTTTCGTTAATGCGGACATACGTTAATCGAGACGCATTTCATGGAAATCGGTCGCATTAAAAAGTCACTTTTAAACTTTATTTTCCTCTACGGATTGGAAATTTAGACTTTAGTTTAATTACTGCATTTAATTTTCATCTGTATAACTATTTATACTGTCGTTTGATTTCTTTCGTTACTTTGTAGCTACATTTGCCATTTTTGATTGATAATGTGATGTTTGATGTTTTACCTCTGTCCTCATGCTTTATAGATACATAGAAGTCAATGATAATCAAAGCATCTACTTTACATGTATTATGCAATACCATTCAATACTATAGACAGTAAGTTAATCACGTATTATATTCATTGTACTTTTCGACACAGTTAATGTTACCGGTAGGGCAGATCAGACTTTCCCTTTTCGGGAACACCTGGTGTCCTTACTCGTTACCAGTGATTCATTCATTACATATTACACCGCTACTTTGTCTGTTTTGTTCAACCGATGATCGATGCTTTTCGGTGATGATTAATATATTATATTTTTATATATATATTGAAAAGAAATACTTATTCTAATAACATACCATATCTGTGGATGTTGGAAGTTTAACAACTCCTAACTTCTACTTTACATTCTGTTCACACAAGTCACAATATGGCTGAAGTATTGCCGATGTGACTATAAATTTGAACTCACTCACTCACTCTGTTCACACAAACCACGGATGCTTATTGAGGGAAGGATGCTGACCATTTAGCTCTTGTTTTGTAACCAAAATTAATGTTTGAAATAATTCTTTCAAATACTCCGCTGAGTTTGGTGCACTTAAAGTTTTCTATACTGATACAACAGTGTGTGCACTTTAAATACAGACCATTATCAAAAGGTTATAGGCGAATACTACATAGTTTCTTTACCTTCTATTTTAAATCAGCGTGTCAGGTTATACTCAACCAAAAGTACTTTGACTCATATTCTTCCGACTTCTCGTAACCTCTAAAGCTGAACGCGGAGATGAGAAACACAAATTTGGTATCATTGTCCTCCCCTTCATTACCAAGACTGATGTAAACTTCTACTATCGTTAGTGAAATAAATTATAGTTCGCATATTTTTTTTATTCGATTATTTTAAAGTTTGCGTTAATTAGGCTGTGGTACTTCTTTAATTTTGATCTGGAGAACTGAGATATACTCATGGTTATACTCTTACTCTTGCCATTTCTGGTGTCCCGCGCTGAGATATTGCTAGAATATTGCTAAAAACGGCGTAAATATAAACTCACTCACTCTCACTCTAGCGTCCCAATTCGCTGTGCGGAGTTAGGTCACCTTGACTCCTCCAAACTCATCACAGTGGGTTTGAATCTCAGGACGCCCGATTATGTTTGCTGGTTTGTCAATACATGCATGTTCGTGGTTACGTTGCGTAGACGGGGCGATAGGGTGGCTTAGCGGTTAAAGCGTTCTCTCTCCACGTCCAACACCCGGGTTCGATTCCCCACATGAGTACAATGTGTGAAGCAGGGGTGGAAATAACTTTAAAATTGCTAGTGTACTCCGGTAAAGTGGCATATGTACAATCACTTGTCCTGATAATTTTTCCACTATACCGTCCGTTTTGTTGTTGATTTTTTAAATAAACACCATAATTAACATTGGAAAGTCAACTGGACACCGGTACAGTGTGATATACAAATTTGCTTGCCCGACAGAAAAAAACACTGGTCTCGGACGTCGGGCAATGGAGTATTTCCACCCCTGTGAAGCCCTTTTGTGGTGTCCCCCGTGATATTACAGAAAAATTGCTCAAAGTGGCGTAAAACCATACTCACTAAACTGATCAACATCCAGACCGCTCTGGTCAATCATCTGACGTTAAGCTGTGACCCTGCAATACGACTTCAATACTACTGTAAGCATAACTTCTTGGCATTTTAGAAGTTGGGAAGTACAATATAGAACAAACTTTATGGATAAGAACAGTTACTTCTTTTTATTCTTGGGGGCGGTGGGGTAGCCTAGTGGTTAAAGCGTTGGCTCGTCACGCCGAAGACCCGGGTTCGATTCCCCACATGGGCACAATGTGTTAAGCCCATTTCTGGTGTCCCCCGCCGTGATATTGCTGGAATATTGCTATAAGCGGCGTAAAACTAAACTCAGTCAGTCAGTTTTATTCGTGAGTGCGACTTTTCAATACAGATTCTTGTACCGTTGTACATACTACTGTAAGCAGCGTTATATTTAGCTCACTCACTCAGTGATACCGTATGTTCCTGGAATACCAAGATGTATTCGAAGTTCTGGTATAGAAAATGCATCACATTATTTATTGTTCAATACATCCTGAGTGCTAAACTAAAATGTGATGATTCTGACCGTCATAGCAGTTCGACTTGAAAATGTTCCACTTTAACGGAATAATCCTCGCAAACACCAAAAATATAAATGATTACTGACTGACTGAGTTTGGTTTTAAGCCGCTTTTAGCTATATTCCAGCAATATCACGGCGGGGGACACCAGAAATGGGCTTCACTCATTGTACCCATGTGGGGATTCGAACCCGGGTCTTCGGCGTGACGAGCGAACGCTTTAACCACTAGCTGCCCCACCGCCCATAAATGATTACGATGAAGGTTAATATTGCCCTGTTTTCAAACAGGCACTTAGTTTAATACCCCTGGTACATATATTTTCGAGAAACACTGATGTTCACACAGAATCAGCCTTTGCGTTGTAACGTTGCTAGGGGAAACGTGTCACGGTCTTCACTTTCCAAGGGGCCCGACGACGTCAATTGGGTGGTTCAGGCAGCACACCATCAGGTTCCCGTCGCATGACCCTACGGGGCCAAAAAACCGGCACAGAGTCCTTGTTGCATCAGAGCAGTAGCCACCCAGACCCTCGCACGTGGACGCACGGATTGCTGTGAATTATAGACGGAGTTGACCAATGAGTGAGCGAGTCATAGAGTTAACTTTTACGCCACCTTTAGTAAATATTCCAGCAATATCACTGCGGGGTACACCAGAAATGGACTTCGCTCATTGTACCCATGTGGGGAATCGAACCCAGGTCTTTGGCGTGACGAGCGGACGTTTTAACCACTAGGCTAGGTGGGTGAATCGATGGAATTGAATCTTAAAGTGTTCTTCAATTACATGTCGTCGTTTCAGCCTAACGTGATGCAAATCGTTAAGTGATGCAGGTTCTAGACAGTTATCACTTCGGTAAACACATGGGTGTGGCAAACTTAGAAACGTAAGACGGCAACATCTGTGATTCGGCTTACAATCATAGGTTTTAGACAGGTGTCTTTGGAACATGAGGTGAGGTGAAATTGGGTTTAACGTCGTGCTTGAGAATATTTCGTTCATATGACGACGTGCATGCGTGTGTATGTGTATGTGCGGCTGCTTGTACTAGCCCAGACTTAAGCTGGTTTTATAGTGCTGGCCCACTGAGATACCATGCCGCAGTGAAGCATGAATACCCCACTCAGAATCATTATACTGACTCCGAGCCGACCAGTCCTTGTACCCATTAATGCCGAGCGCCAGGCAGGAACCAACGAATACCATATTTTAACGTCTTTTGGTATGACGCGATCGGGGATCGAACCCGCGACCTTCCGCTCTCCGGGCGGACGCTCTAACCACAACACCACGGAGGCGGTCCTTTGGAACAAGAACAAACCGAGGGTGTTTAGTCACAGCATGGGTAAACTGCCTGGGTTTCAGGTTGGAACTGCAGCAATCTATCCTGGTAGTCACGGGTAACTTAGTGAATCGGGGGTTCAGACTCTGAGACTCGGATGACATTGTGTCAGTGTCCCCTGACGGCGTGAATCTTCCTCACAATGTTTATCACCGCTAAGTGTGTTCCACGGTCGTATAATTACAGTCCTTAGTGAAAACGTATATTGCCAGTTGAGGAGTATTAAGAATAGTTAGATAAAAATATGAAAAGTAAGTATTCAGTGAGGTATCATAAATTTGTGAATGTCGCCCCCTTCTGTCACTCACTCATGCATATAGATAGACTCTGTGAGCTGTTAATACTATGCTGTCAAAATACTTACCTGGATAACTATAATTGAAAACACATTATTCACGACTGATGTCCTAAATACTCTCAATTTTGGGTTAACTGGAATTGAAAGTGTCGGTCGTTAGATATTCGTGAATTATTTCGCCAGAAGTAGAAGGTGTTGTGGATCTCTCTCTCTCTCTCTCTCTCTAAAAATTATTTCTGATGTCTTATTATTAAAAATTATTTCTGATGTCCTCGCCGTGCTGGAATGTTGCTAAAGGCGGCGTAAAACTAAACTCACTCCCTCACTCACTTAACTATATTCTCAAAGTAAGATTATAAGGCAATGCGGGTTCAAATTATGATTGTTCTTCATGTATACTATTCTTAATACCGATGATATTGAAATGCTCACCCGATCCGTGAATAACTCCACACAGAACTAAAGCCACTAAAAGTCCCAGCACAGCCTTCATTTTCCAGGAACGTTGAATCATTAACGTCAGCCAAGTCCACACCTTTATTTATCACTCTTACAAGGGGTCATCTCACGAATTTTAGCGACAGCATAATTGCACATTATGGACTCTTCATGAATTATGGGGCGGTGGGGTAGCCTAATGGTTAAAGCGTTGGCTCGTCACGCCGAATACCCGGGTTCGAATCCCCACATGGGCACAATGTGTGAAGCCCATTTCTGGTGTCCCCCGCCGTGATGTTGCTTGAGTATTGCTAAAAGCGGCGTAAAACCAAACTCAGTCAGTCAGTCATGAATATTGTCATTGGTTAAACAGTTAAACGCTGACGTACTGTTAAGGGTTGAAGTTACAACGATATATATATGTTTTGACAAGCAAACATGTAAAATGTAGGTTAGTGTTTACCAAGGGTCCCTACTGTGAAGGAGTGACTCTGATAAGCCTGATTAAACCGGGATTTGATAGTGATATGTGTCAACTAGATTAGACACAAAATATGTGCTTTGGTCCGTTTTGTTCTCTCAATTTGGGACAGTGATGTACAAAGAAGCTTCATACACGCAATTTATTAAACTGAGAAGTTAGCCAAGTTATAACATGCTTAATATTTTAGATGAATACATACTATGTTTTATATATAAAATAACAATATTTGAGATATCACGACGAACACAACGACACTGGACACATTCATAGTTTCCCCGTGGCAGGCCTGATGGGCAAACACTATCACCACTAGGCCACCACCGTCATGTTTAAGTTTCGCTGTTGTGATGTTTAACGCTGCAGCAAAATATTGCAGTTATTTTACCGAGGCTCGTCAACAATGGAGCCGAGACCTGACAAACGAGTGATTGTTTTCATGAGCAACAAACCACGCCGCCGGGTTATGATGACATACACTCAACCACGCCAACTCGTCTCATTTTAAGACAAGTGGTGGTGGAGGAATTGAGTTTAACGTCGTGCTTGAGAATATTTCGCTCATATGACGACGTGCATGCGTGTGTATGTGTATGTGCGGCTGCTTTATCCTAGAGGTTAAAGCTTTCACTTCCCCACATGGGTACAACGTGTGAAGTCAATTCCTGGTGTCGTGATATTGCTGGGATATTGCTAAAAGTGGCGTAAAATCAAACTCACTCACTCACTCACGTAGCGCAAAGGTTGTTTTGTACAACAACACCCTGGGTGCCGTTCCACTAACCGATCTTATCTAAGATCAATCTTAGCAAGTTACGCCAATTTTACAATCGTCTTAGCTAAAAGTTACACCCGTTCCACTAGCCGATCTTAGGCCGATCGTAGCCGGTCCCGATCTTACGATCCGATCCAAGCTTAGATCGAGACTCTTTCGTGCGAGAGATACAGGAAAGCGAGGCACGAGTTATCTCCCTTTGCATAGTCTAGCAAATGATAGAAAGTAGTTTACGAACCAACTGAGTGAGTGAGTGAGTTTAGATTTACGCCGCACTCAGCAATAGTGCAATAGTATATGGCGGCGGTCTGTAAATAATCTAGCCAAGATACATAGCGTTCACTAACATGAGCGTTCATGTTAGTGAACGCTATGTATCTTAGTTATAAATAATCGAGTCTGGACCAGACAATCCAGTGATCAACAGCATGCGCATCGATCTGCGCAGTTGGGAACCGATGACATGTGTCAACCAAATCAGCGAGCCTGACAACCCGATCCCGTTAGTGGCCTCTTACGACAGGCATGGGTTATTGAAGTTCAATATTCTAACCCGGGCCTTCATGGGTATTTTTCAAACCCCGTGTAAACGTGGAGAAAAAACCTAGAGCAAAATATTAGGGTAGTGAGCACCTTGGTTTCAGGTGCAAGTGCGCGAGAACGCTGGGTATCAAGCATAATATAATAATAATAAATGCATATTTATAGTGCGCCTATTCCACATCCTTGGGCATGCTCAAAGCGCTGTGTACAGATAATTTACACGAGAATATTTACAGCTGAGATTATAAGTAATATACTGAGAACAGGTTTTAAGTCTGGACTTTAAAAATGTCAGTTGTGTCAGAGCTTTTAATATGTGCCTGAACCTTGTCAATCAGAATAAACAAGGCGTGACGAGGCTATAACGTATGTTGAATCTGTCAGTGGTCTTGAATAACACGCGACCTGCCTTTAGAATCCCCCACCAAATATGTGCAGTGAAATCAAACATATTTGTATCTTTTTGCTTCAGAACATTGTTCACTTCACAGCTGTCCCTATTCTTAACCATGACGTTGCAATATTGTTGTACAAATGTGTTACACCGACTCGCTCGGTTGTGTTCCTATGACGACAGTGGTCAGACTGGCCTGACATTTGTAAGGCTTCAGTGCAGTGTTTGTTTACATCACAGAAATATACAAATTCATTTCATGGGGGACTTTATGGGACGCTCACGGTGAAATGCTCGCTCTTATTTTTCACATAGAATAGGAAAGCCACCATTTTGGTTTCTCTGCGATTGATTTTAGCTATCCTAAGTTGGTCATGAGCAACTTAGACTTTGAATCTTAACTTTACGATTGACTTAGGTAAGATTGGTTAGTGGAACGGCATGCCGATCGTAACGTCAAGCTAAGATTGGGATTTTAGGGGTTTACGATTGGCATAGGGCTAAGATCGGTTAGTGGAACGGCACCCTGGTCCACTTTACTGAAGAATCAGAATGAATCAGTTTGCTCTCATTTGTTTACACCGTAGTAATCCCACACATTCATTCAAAATCGGTCCTTTTTAAAGTTCCCAAAACGTTCTGATTACGTATGATGTCACCTCACTCACTCACTCACTCATTCATGGACTTCAGTTCAGTGCCTACCTCGTTATGGTCATACCTCCCACATGTAACTGAGAAGTTGTGGCATTTGCCATGCCGATGCCGCCGTCACGTATATGATTTTCGTTTAATCACTAGGTTAACGCTTAGTCTTTGAATATGTATGAGTGAGTGAGTGAGTTAAGGTGTAAAGTCACATCGGAAATATTTCAGCCATATCGTGACTAGAATATATATGAATTTTGACAGAAATATATAGCTTCATTTAAACAGGAAGATTCAGAACCTGTGATCCTGAACCAGAAGGAAACCTAGACTATCATTTAAGACTTCTCCATTGCAGAAAAGCTTGGTTTGAGTGAGTGAGTGAGTTTAGTTTTACGCCGCACTCAGCAATATTCCAGCTATGGAGGCGGTCTGTAAATACTCGAGTCTGGACCAGACAATCCAGTGATCAACAGCATGAGCACCGATCTACACAATTGGGAACCGATGACATGAGTCAACCAAGTCAGCGAAACTGACCACCCGATCCCGTTAGTCGCCTCTTACGACAAGCATAGTCGCCTTTTATGGCAAGCACATGGGTTGCTGAAGATCTATTCTACCCGGATTTAGCTTGGTTTGAGGGAAAACAATGGAGTTTTGTGAATAACACAAAACGACCAATTTCTCATTTTGACATGTTGATCAATATCCGATGGTATTGAAGAATTTAGAACTGTCTGTTTGTTGTTAAATAATATTCCAGTAATATGACGGCGATCTGTAAATAATCGAGTCTTGACCAGACAAAATTGATTGACGTCATGATCGCCGACCCACGTATTTAGGGTATGATGATTTGTATCAACAAAGTCAGTCAGTCAGTATTGTTTTACGCCGCTTCTAGCAATATTCCAGCAATATCACGGCGGGGGACACCAGAAATGGGCTTCACACATTGTGCCCATGTGGGGAATGGAACCCGGGCCTTCGGCGTGACGAGCCAACGCTTCACCCACTAGGCTACCCCACCGCCCCTTAACATCATGAGCACCGACCCACGTATTTAGGGTATGATGACTTGCATCAACAAGGTCAACGAGAGTAGCCACCCAACAGTGGCACCTTACGACAAGCATAGGCTACTGAAGACCATTTCTATCCCGGACATTCATGGGTCTAATATTGTAATTGTGCGGCGTAACAGAATACACAAAACAAGACATCTGTATAATATTAATATTCTAGCCCGGATTAGGCAATGAAGTTACAACATTAGCAGGAGAATGTATACTTTATTGTTTGACTCCATACATCATTATGATGATAACCACATCTACTCAGCAGGAAAGACAAGAGTTCGCATCATTCTGATGTATCCCGCTAGCCAATGGCTATTCCTGGGCAGCAAGCAGCATACGGTTCAGACCCACAGATGTTAAAGTCCAGTCCGGCACATCTGACCAACCGACTGTCCACACAGTTTCCATTGAGAGCTTTACATGCATCAGTGGTCACGTCTGGAACATGGGATTCGAACATCAACTTCAACCGTCCGCTGAGTGAGTGAGTGAGTGTAGTTTTACGCCGCTTTTAGCAATATTCCCGCAATATCACGGCGGGGGACACCAGAAATGGGCCTCACACATTGTGCCCATGTGGGGAATCGAACCCGGGTCTTTGGCGTGACGAGCGAACGCTCTAGGCCACTAGGCTACCCCACCGCCCCCTTTCACCAAGAAGCAAAAGTATATTCTAATAAATGTATATGTATATGATTCAATTTTGCTAAACCAAATGAAACCGTATTTGAAACAGGACCAAAAGACTAGTCCCAGTGATGCATTCCGCTGCGATGTTTGACTTTTCCTCTGTACTAAGTATAAAATTCCCAATCGAAACTTTGGTCGTGTGCTTGTCATTTTTAGTTTTTAGCGTTACAAATTTGTTTTACGTGATGACTTCTTGACAAAGGTTTCCATATACATGTACGTGTAAAGATTATTGAAGAATATGGAGTTACTTACATTGTGTGTAACTTGTAACCAGGGAAAAGTACAGTGTCATACAAAAATATAGAAGGACAGCTCCATAGGTGGTTGAAAACGCCATGCTTGTGTCTATGTATGTTGTCTTGGCTCTAATCTCGTATCTGACGACACTCCTTCAAGAACCAGGCGATACGACGGTCGTTTTAATCGATGTCTTTCTTTTGGATCATCACGTGCGACAATACAACAATATTACAGCTGGATCCATACTCCATAGTGAAAAGTGTGTCATGTGGGATAGACAGTGAAGAAACGATGAATGACGGATGGAGATGAAACCGTTACAATAAAATTGAGATTTCCAGAGGACCTTCTTCACAGAACGGGCGGTGGGGTAGCCTAGTGGTTAAAGCTACCCGTCACGCCGAAGACCCGGGTTCGAATCCCCACATGGGTACAATGTGTGAAGCCCATTTCTGGTGTCCCCCGCCGTGATGTTGCTGGAATAATGCTAAAAGCGGCGTAAAACCAAACTCAGTCAGTCAGTCTTCACAGAACCTTGATCCGGTTTAGATTTGATTTTCACAACACATGCTTGTCGTAAAAGGCGTATATGGGAACCCCGTAGTTTGGACAGGTGATTCTGTTGATGCATGCTAAACGACAAACGGAAATCTGTAGGAAAACCAGTTGATTTGTTTGTTGCATGCCATCGTACAAGAAATGTTTACAGTGATGAATTACCGAATTAATTACTGATGAATTGTGTTAAATCTCATCTAAAGAAATTTCTTTTTTCTTCGCTATTGACTGTCTTGTGTTTGCGCTTAGATCATGGCCAAGTGTTGTGGAGTCATTACAAATGATCTCTAATATTATTATTATTATTATTATTATAATTTTTATCACCGCAAATGCTCTTTGATCTCCTTTACTGACCTTGGGCTAATCCATGATGAACCTTGACCATACTACTTGGTCTGTTTGTTTAACCTCGCAATATTCCAACTGTATGTCGACAGTTTGTGAAAGATTGAATCGGGACCAGACAATCCAGTGATTGACATCATGAGCATATAGCTAAGCCACTGAGATAAGATGTCACACATCAACCAAGTCAGCGAGACTGATCACCACGTACGACCAGTATGGGCTTGTCGCAATGCATCAAGATGCTGTACTGGAGGATCTCTCTGGCGTATTGTGCGACCCATAATGTCTCACATATGTTCTATAGGATTGAGATACAGACTCCCCGGCCAGAACGGTCGAGTTGTTACCGTCTCTTGACGTAAGACGATGTGACCCAGGATTATCGTACCTTGGCTGAACTTGCGTTCAGAGGATAAACATCCAAATGTGGTACAACAGGCCTGTTTGTGACGTCATTGATGAGCCGTTGTCCATTCAGATTTTGTCTGATCCTCACAAGGTCAAGTTAACAGTAATGTGAGAATCCCTTACACCATCAATGAACCCCCACCAAACGGCACTTGCTCCAAGATATTCCGTTGTGCAGATACAGCGTTTCCCCAACTACCAGGTCGGCCATTATAGCTGTGTACGAAAGAAACCGACTTTCGTCCAACCTGTGCACCCTTCCCCTGACGTCAAATTACACTGACGTCGAGATTGACCCAAAGATGGCCGTGATGCTTTGTGCTCTGGAGATAACAACGGACGTCTGATAGGTCGTCTGCCGCTATACCCGCCCGATTTTAGGCGATTTTGGAACGTTCTGTTGGATAAACGACGATGTGGAGCTCCGCTGTTTTGAACACGCCACTTGATATGAACTACTTTGAGAACGGGTGCATCCTCCATAACATGCTGTCACTCGCGGTCCATCAGAATGCTGACGTTTATAAGTTTGCTGATGTTTTCTGGCCTGACGGTCGGTAGTCGACTGGCTGACTGAGTTTGGTTTTTACGCCGCTTTTAGCAATATTCCAGCAACATCACGGCGGGGGACACCAGAAATGGGCTTCACACATTGTACCCATGTGGGGATTCGAACCCGGGTCTTCGGCGTGACGAGCCAACGCTTTAACCACTAGGCTACCCCACCGCCCCCCCGTAGTCGAAGGGTGAGAACTAACATCTTTTCCAATTGCCCTCAATGACATAATAGACAAGCATTCCGCATAGCAATAACTTGCCATCTCTGAACTTTTGTCATTTGATGTGGCCCCATATATGCTTATCAACAAGTTAATTGACTTTCCAAGTTATCGAGCTGTATGAACAGTTTACTGAAACTTGATAGTAGCTTAATGACGGTACACGTATTGCATGTAATGCTCGCCATTCGTAGCACGATCATTTCTAAATTGCATCAGGTAAGAATAATCATACTAACAAAAATAATTATAATAGGAATATAAATGGCTACATGGAGTTAACATCATAGGTGTTGCGTTACATATTTGTATGTGTATACATGTAGCTCATGGTGTCACTGGTTCAAATTCTATTCAACATTTAAATCTCCTTCAATATTGTGAAAAGGTTTTCACATGTGGAATGAATTAGAACAGGCAGCTTATATCTGACAACCAAGTGTCTTCGTGTGTTCTTTTGAGAGGGTCTTATCTGATTAGGCTCCATTGCTGTCGGCCATTGTGTTGTACTGCGTGCAAGATGGTATCAGTGTCAACTTTAGTGTTGATTGTTGTTTGTACCGGGATCTGCGCTGATGGGTTTTCTTCACGTCGACTAAGTGAGTTTATTTTGCAATGGATTGTTTTTGCTCAAATGTACATATCAGTTCATACATAGACATTAAGGATCTATACATTTTGGACAGTGCTCTCTTCTGGGGCATAAATCTGCTACTGGTATCAGCGGAGGGAGACATGACGAGGGTTATTAACGCCTCACCAGTGCAACAGGTGCAGAAGTGATAAATGAACACTAACAGACTATTCTTATTAAGTCTTACTGATAAAAACAATTAAATGTATTGTGTTCAAACATATATAAATTATTAACCATGGGTGAATGCGATCGCCGCTTAACAATTACAAAAAAATATTAGTTGGGCGTTTTCTGACCATTTTACCGCCCAAGCAAGTAATAATTATGGTGTGGAAGACTTAGAGAATCCCGTGACCTGGGTCAGTGGCGGGTCGAATGTGTACCTCGTCGTATTGTGTGAGTGAGTGAGTGCGTATGGTTTTACGCCGCCATTAGGAATGCTTCAACAATATTACGGCGGGTTACACATTGTGCCCATGTGGGGAATCGAACCCGGGTCTTCAGCGTAAAGAACGAAGGCTTTAACCACTAGGCTACCCCCACACACACACACACACACCGTGTTATGTTGGCTGTTGCTTATGATATCATTCTTTTCTTTTTTTCTATAACGGACTGCATGTATAACGCCGAAAAAAATCATAAAATCAACACAGTCGAATGCGTTTTGCGCTGTTTCCATACAATTTTGGGGTTGAGTGTTAATGTCGAAAATTCGATTTGTTTACAAACAACATCGTACAGCTGTAGTACTACTGAAACAAATATATACTCATGATATAGTCACAATTGTACAATCGACTCTGCTCTTTTTAGCACAGATTTCTTCTAGATGTAGAAAGGGCTGTATATTTGAGCACTGCAGAATACCATGTGAAACAAACTAACAAACGATAAGCATGGCTCCAGGGAATTAATTGTTGTCTGTAATATCCATGGTTACCACTGTCGTGTCCTCTAGTTCCAGACACTGAGGAATGCCTGTCCCTCCCTGGGACTTGCATTGACACCTCCATGGTCCAGTGTAGGGGTCTCACGGTACAAATCTGTGGGCCCCTGCCGGAAGCAGCCTGTTGCATTCACTCTGACATTGGAAACTGAGTGTCTTGTAAGTATTTGAATCCAAATTGAAGGACAAGATGTGCGAATAGTTTCAATGTTCTTTTCGAAAAGCATGAAAACTGGACCAGGATGTCTGTTTGTGTGTGTGTGTCACAATATGTGTGTTGTGTGTGTACGTGTGGATCTGGACAGCGAAACCTACAGAATGCATAAATATGATTTTTATCATCCAAAACTGTGTTCCACATGAGATATTGCTTGTGTGAGATCAAACGATATCTCATGGGAGATATAATTTTGACGGTAGATTTTGTTCAATGCCCCGACAATGCTATGACGTCATGAACTTGATGACGTCACAACGCTATGCCATCTCCGCACTGCAAGTATAATGCCAGTACAGTGTTCAGAGATGTAAATTTTTCACTGGAAACTAATGAAGAGTGATTTTTGATGATAAATACAATTTCACTCTCGTGTCTTCTGATATCAAATATATCAACACACGTTGATAAAATTAAATATATTCCCGGCATTCCTCGGATATTTGTAACTTTATCAACTCGTGGTGATATGTTTGACATCAAAAGACATTCGGCTGAGATTCTCTGTATCTTGGTCAAGAGCCCAGTGTGCACTCGGTTGCACTTCTCGGTTATACACCCCAGTTTACATGTGAGGAGCTGGCAATTAACAGCAGCTGTACCATCGTATCCTAACGGGTACCCATTCAATGCTTGATGAACAGAAAGGACAGGAGCCGAGCTCGTCGACACATCTAGTCTCCGCGACCAGTGTTAAACTTATGTGGACCTGAGCGGTGTATTTAGAACATGTCAAGACTGCTTGCCGCCGTCAGGTATCTTGGTGATAAATATAATTCTTCTGTTTTCTTTTGTTTCATTACAGAACGTCAACACAAGCAACCCTCCTGTTAAAGTGCTTTTAAATTCGAAAAGAATAAATTGTCCATGAACTTTACACGAAGAATTGAAGCATTAAATTAACATGCAATTCCGTTAATCATAAATATATAATTTGTGAAGAAAAATGGAAAGTTAATATTTCACAGTGAAATTAATACCGAACAGCCTCTCACTAACAGTTAACATTCATCGTGTTGCTGTTACGTTGTGATTATATACTACCCATCAAAATACAAGATCTTATCTTATGGATAACAACTTCTTGATTTATTTTACACAACGTTTCTGGGCTTTGTTCTTGCCCTTCGTCAGGTGGATAATCCATAAGATTTGTCTTGTATTACTACACCAACTTCTAAAAGCCTTTGAAGAATTTTTACCCATCAAAAGTTTAACCTCGCTTAAATCATTCACTAT